GCAAAGTGGTCATTTATGTTTCATTTTTAAGTTAGTTACTTCATTTTTCACTTAGCTTTGTACATCTTACAGTGCCTCCAGGATGTTGAGATGTTGGGTTTGCATTCTGCATGACCTTGCAATTATGTCAAATCACCTCACCCCAACTTTACCGCAAATTTGACTATTTAAAACAAGTAAAATCTCACTTAGAGCAGCATATCTGTTCCTTCAGCCCCTACTTGTCCTCTCTGTCTCTCATGCTGTTGCGGGACTGCGAGCTCTATGGGGCTGGGAAAGACTCAGACACATACAGTGACGGGGCTAACTGTTAGCATCACATGGCTAACGTTACCCAGTGGTTTTTAACGGGTTTAAGGGTAGAGTCGAGTTGTTTCATTGTCGTGGTGTGAGATTGTTGGGATCATTTAACAGCCTGTTGTTGAATGTCAGCTGCTGTTGCTGTGTTAGCCTGTGCTAACCACACACAGGGTGGTGGGACGAGAGCAGCTCATGGAGACGGTCATTCAGTGCTGCTTTAATCGGTAGCAACAGCTGATCGTTGGCAATCAGCTGTCAGCACTGCGATCACTAAGGTCGGAGGCAAAGGTAACGTTACTGTAGAAATTACAGGAAGTTAACAGACATGGAATTCATAAAACGGATATATGTCACACTACATTGTGCAAACAGAGAAGTATTCTTTATTCTTCAGTACCACAAAACCTGTGTGTCTTTGACCTGTAGACCTAAGTTTATTGATGTGGTGTCTTTTCCCTTCAAGCTCAGCTGTCAGTCATACACATACACTGTGTAATGTTGAGGTATTATGGGTATGAAGTATGTTTCTATTTTCATTGTTATGCCATGACATGGCAAATACTTAATGTCTTTTTATGCCCTATTTTTTATGCAATGCGCATTTGGTTTCTTTGTAATGAAATGTGCTCTATAAATAAAACTGCCTTGCCTTATATTAACACTCCAACTGTGAGCCTCGAAGGCTAAAGGAGACTCTTCAAAGATGATTTTTTAAAACTGAATTAAATTCTAAAATCACAGTTTTGACTTCAAAAAGAGAAGAGCAGCTGGACTTAAATTTCAATCTGTCCTCTAAGGAATATGACTGGACTTAAAATATCTTAACTGTGTAGTCATAATACTTTATTACCGAGCAAATTCAGCGTTAGAGATCCTGCTTTTTCATCTATTTAATGGAGTATGCTGTCTTCATCCAGTAAGATAACATTTCATTTGCTCCGTTCTTAGTTGCATTAACAAGGTCTTAAATGTAACCTGACGAAACTTGTAGACACTCTAAGAGTTTGAGATTATATTTTAAGATCAAAATTGCCAAACCAGGCTGCAGTGGAAAATAAAGAATTAAAGATAAATAAAAACTCAGTTTGAAAAGAGAATCTAGCCAATTAAAATAAAGTCTGAAGGCTGATAATATGATGTGTTCATGACATGAACTCACCGTAAACTCACCCACCTAACGTTAAATGTCACGGATGTGAGATAAACATTTATTTACTAGCTGTGTGATTTCTTGCAGGACAGTTATTGGTGTGTTTATTTGTTGGTGCTGTGTTGAGCTTTAGAGGCAAAAAAATCCCCTGTCTGATCCAACTCTGATCAAAACATAGAATATGACACTGCAACCCTACACACACACACACACACACACACACTGCATTAGTTAGCTGTGTTCATCTATGTTTAGCTGCTGGAGCTGCCTAGCTGTCCCAAAGCTGTCACCATATTACAAGCTACTGCTGAGAGCTCTCTTACACACACACACACACACACACACACACACACGCACACACACGCACACACACACACACACACACACACACAACCCCATCCTCGGTGGGAATACAGGTAACATTGACTCTTTGTAGGGGGTTTGAATGACTGCTATAAGGTTACCCTGAAATACACTTTCTCACAAACACACACTCACACACACACACACACACACACACACACACACACACACACTTGGTAGCTTTCTCCCTATTCTAATTGCCGCAATGTGACACTGCTTCCCACATCACGAGAAGAAAGAGAGAAATGCTCAGAGAGAGAGAAAAGATGGGGTGAAAGACGGGGTGGTGGAGGCAGACAGGGAGTCAGCATTTGACCTACATCCAGTGTTTGTGTCTGTCTGTCTGTCTAGTTGGTGATCAAGCTGAAGGAAAGACAGTCTAAACAAAGATCATCATATTTTATTGGAAAACAAGCTAGTAATTTCAGTATTTATTGTGAATATTATATATAAATATAAAGTGAAAATTTAAAGTAAAAATTGGGCAATAAACGCACCATATGCAGCCCCCATATTCACCAATGTCATTGTTAACTTACTTCGTCCCCCTTCTACTGGCGTGCACATTAGAGTGTGGATACCTGACCGGAGCCTAGGATCTGGTGGGCCGGGCCGCGCCAGGCTGGGCTGGGCCAAGCCGAGGCTCAAACAAATTTTTACAAATAATATTTGGCTTCAGGTTGAGTGTGGACTCTGGTATGGTCCAGACAGAAATGATGATACAATGAGATACAGCAAGCTTATTGAATCCTGAGGGAGTCTAGGCTCGCCGTTGCTCTTGAATTAATTAGAGGTGTGCAAAAATAGGGGAAGGGGTTTATAAACAAGCGACACCTGTTTGCTGACATATGGAGCAGGTTAGGACATCTTTATTAAGAAACACTGAGACAATATAATGTTCGCTTGCTCGCTTGTTCGTATTATGCCCAATTAAGCCCTAATCACACAGAAAGAGTTTAAGCAGCAGGAGGTGCCTTTTTGTCATTGTTGTTAATGAGAATGAACATGGCAAGGCAATGCGCCTTGTGTTTCTGTGTTCTAAGCGCCTGGCGTCTTTGCCGGAGAACCTTCAACCCAAAGTGGAAAAATGCCTCATGTCATCCTTATTTTTCATTGTCCAATCGGATAATTTGAGTGGTGGTCAAGTTTATAGTTGGTTAACTATGGTGGTAGTGGCTCCTGGATACCCTGAGCTATATGGCTCGATAATAGAAAGCAGGTTGACAAACTGCCCCCGAGTCATCCTAAAATATGCCTGGAACAGCCATCATCGAGGCGAAGCTCCTGGACCAGCTGGTGGTACTCCCCATGTCCCACCCTCTTTTATAGGGTCTCATGTACCCACACAGATCTCTGTTTCCCTGTGCCCAACAAACTATTTACTGACAGCCTCTCACCCTCAACCAGAGCTACAGCAAGTACCCTCTGCCTCAACATTTCAGGAGCTAGATACTGATAACTAAAATAAATAGATAAACGGTAAATTGATTACATAGGAAGGTTAGAATGAGGAGGTGAGTCCATGGTTGCTCCTTTTACTTGTTATTGGTCACCAAAAGATGATGCCTCTGTCTGTCACTACAGAAGAAAAATAGGATCGCCATCTTCTCGTTTTGTTGCTTTGTTTACTAGCTAATGTTTTTTATGTTGGTTGATGAATATTTCTGTAGATAGCTTGTGTATTTTGAGCTCATTTTCCCCACCAAAGTTGAGAGATGGACACTGTGTGGCTTAATTTTTTCAGATAACGATAAGCCATTAAATTACAGTTTGGCAATTTTGAAGAAAACTAATTACAACTACCAATCAGTCATACATCTCAGGACCTTAAACATTGTGCTGTCACAAGTTATATTGTCAAAATTAGAACAATTAAAGCTTAAATCGCTGGGGAGCTACATTAGCATAAATGACAGTCTAAGGTTACAGTAGTGCTGTCATTTATGCGTGCAGTCTTAACAAAGCACAGTTATTTGAACACAACAACATAGACAGACTAACTACACCACCAATAACATGTAAGACTACATATGGGATCATTTACCTACCTGAAAGAATTGACGAATAGTGACCAGTGAGTTGGCTGCAGTGACGTTAAATGTCTTTGATTATAAATAACTAACCAACAGTCAAACTGTTACATTTTTATATGATATTTAAAACTACTCAGAAGGGCTAATGCTAGCCAGCTAGTTACCTTCTGACCTGTTTATAATTGCAGTCTGGTCAGTAATAACAGGTTGGACCTAACCCTGATGAGTTATATAGCTGTTGGACAGAGCCATGATCTGTTTCAGCATCACGTGATGTGCGTTTTTTTAATTTTATGGAAGGATTTTTCCGTCAAAGGTGAACTAACAGAGATATGATGGGTCATAGTGTCATTCGTCATGCCCGCCCCATTAACTTTGTTAGAAGTGGCACCAAAGTCTGGCTCCAATGCAAAATACAAACTCTGTCATTGATGTTATGTCCTTTCCCCCTTTTCTAGTTTCCTTGGTAGCTGACAGGAAGTAAACGGGATCCATAGCTGTTGCTTTAGCAAGAGAACAGATGAAATGGTTTATAGTGCCTTATATTTACCATATTTACAGTACCCTTAAAAGTCCCCGCCGTGGAACAAAAAAAAGTAGTGGAAGCTTTCCACTAAGAATCCCATAATGCAATTTGCCACATTTTATGGATGAAACAGTTGTGCTACATTACAACTATCAGTGATGCCCTTAAATGATGATGATTTGTAAGTGTCTTAAATCTCAGATGACTGCTTAATATAGAGAAAACAACAGAGGGTCTTTAATTTAAAGAGCTGTGAGTGAGTAAACAAGGGAGTGATCTCAGACAACAACTCTAATATCTGTGACAGAAGATAGCAAAGTGAGTTTAAAACAATTTCATTCAAGGTGCGTGTATTTGTTCTGGTGTAAGTTGTCATGAAAGAAATACACTAATATGAACGTGGATCCAAAAATGTTATTTTACATTGAAAGTGTTGCTGAAGTGAATTTAAGGGGAGTGTACTGCCTTTTTCGCTCCTGGCTGTATTAGAGTACCAACAGTATAATGGCAGATTACAGCAGGTCCAATAAAATGAGATTAACTGATATAACTGATATCAGAATTGTTTCTGCCAGTACCTTTATGTATATTATATTATCATCCTCTCTACCCTCTCTGTGTTTTCCAGGTTTTCCAGATTGCCTATGTGATCATAAAGGCAGCCAACTCACCTCGCCCAGGTAAGCATTCTGCTTCATAATTTGCATTTACACAGTTTTAGGTGTTAACATTACTGGTTTGATTATAAAATGAAACAATGACTGTGTAATTAAAGTGCCAGCTCTAGACTTATTTTCAGTCATTGTCTTATGAACGGTTAAGTATAGTAATTACAGTCATTTGAGCACATGATCCTCCTGCTGAGAATAATTTGAAAGCTCAAGATTCCATTCAATAAAATGCAATTTTACTGTAATCGTTAATGTTCATTATGTGCAATGGTTGGTTGAGTTTAAAACCCAGCATCCAAAACATCAACAATCCTGAAAAGTTATTGTCTTTAAATGTTACTGTGCATTGCTCTAAGTTACTATTTTACTGGCACTGGGGCATTGGCAGTGGATCCTTTGAGACCTGTCGGTTGTGAGGTGGGGTACTGGCATGTCCCACGGATGGTTGATCAGACTGGGATCTGGGGACTTTCGAGGCCAAGCTGATGCCTTGCACTCTTGAGTAGTTTTTGTGGTGAGGCATGGTTCATGTTCTGCTGGGGAGGGGGGCTATTGCCATCGAGGAGTGTAATTGCGATGAGGGAGGGACTTGGTCCACAACGGTGTTTGGATGACTGAAGTGCTTCAAGTGGCACCCACATGAATGCCAGGACCAAGGATTTCCCAGCAGAACATTGCATTGTAACGAGATGGTCAGTGTTATTTACCACATCTGTTAGTGGTTTTAATGTTTTGGCTGATTGGTGTAGTCCACAAGAGTAAAGGGAAAAAAACAGTTAGTCCAACAGCTATTTAACTATTAACATTACAGCTGGGGTAGGCAGAAATCTGGAAGAGTCTACAAAAAAAATGAAAAAGAAGATAGGCAGAATATAGCTCCCCTTTCTCTGTCCTAAGCCCCTCCCACCAGGCAACCTGTATGCACGTGGCATATACAAGTGCTTCGTACAGTAAGTCGTACAGTAGTCTTGTTTCATTGTAGAGCTGCACACAACACATTCACTCACACTTCTGTCTCTCTGTTGAGACCACAAATGAAGAATTAGCTAGCAAGCCACCTCACAGTCCCTCCACCTTGCACCCTGCTGCTGTGGACTGCTTTCCTGTGAGGAGCGCAGGCAGCAGCTCTGGAGAAAGAACCTTGGTCGATAGCTGTAGCGCCTTGAATTCAGCCAGCACAAACCTCTTAGCGCCAGATGTAACAGCAGGCTGGCGGACAGCTGCAGTGCTGGGTCTAACCTGTGTAATGGCAGCAACAAAAAGTTTGCTGATACGGCAGAGTTGTGGCTGTCCAGTCCCCCTGGGCTGGGGTTTGTGCTGGCTGGAACTGTGTTGCTCTGGCAGCTGACCAGGTGGATGTCTCCAGAGCTGCTGCCTGCTCTTGTCCAGGTGAGGCGGTCTGTAGCAGCAGGGAGTGAGATGAAGGATATGCTGTGATACAAGGCTCTAGCTAACGTTAGCTTCATAAAGGTGAATTTGAAGCGACTAGCAACTGTATCTGCAGAGTTCTCCAGCATTAAATTAGGCTTTCACTAAAGGTACATGCAGGTGCATCTGCTTGAGTAGAACAGCCTGTAGTAATGCCCTCTTTCTGAAATGACCAGTGATTGATCAAAGTCTCCAAAGGCTAGATTTACTAAAGCCTGAGAGCAGAGCCAAAGGAAGGTGCAGAAGTCTGTTTTTCTCACAGTTCCCTTACAATATGCTCAAAATGTATTATGGGATCTTGGCCCAATGAAGCCAAATTAAACTGTCTAGCCCAGCTTTGAGGTAAAATATATAAAGATGGTCAGATTTTAAGCATCAGCTAATTTTTAAATTAAAAGAATGGCGTATCTTGATACTTACATAGTGTTGTTAGCAGTTTATATGTATTCTGTTTAGTGCCATCTAATTTGCTGATTTGGTTTTTCCATTGACTGGACTCCCTTCACTTCACTTTCGATCAATTCAGGGGGAGGAATATCACAGTTTTGGTCTAAGCTATCAAGAAATACAGCATGTGCAATTGAACGTTCTGTCAATTTTCTATGTATTTTAAGTAGGGTGACCTAAACACAGTCTTGGAATGTCCATCATTATTTTTTTATTGATCTTTTCTTCCCTCCTCATCACATGTTCAAAGCATTTCATCATTATTTTCTTCACTCATAATTTTTTTCCACAGGTAACTGGATCTTAGAGCGTTCAATAGACGGTGTAACCTTTGACCCGTGGCAGTACTACGCCATCACAGAAACAGAGTGCCTGACAAGGTTCAACATCAACCCACGGACTGGACCTCCATCCTACACCAGAGATGATGAAGTTATCTGCACATCTTTTTATTCAAAGATTCACCCTCTGGAGAACGGAGAGGTAACACTTGTAGCATTGTAGAGTTGAGTTTGTCTTAGTTTTGGGTGGATTTGAAGGGTTCTAGTGGGTTAGATTGACTCAGGCTGAGATTAAATGGTTGAGTCAAGTTTGATGGGGGGGGGGGATTTTGATTGGGTGAGCAGGGTACAGTGAGTTGGGTTGTGCTTGGTCAGCTTAAATTGCACTGGGTTCGAAAGGGTTTGGTGAATGCAGGATGAGGGGTGCGGATGGTTGAATTGAGTTTGGTTGTGTGTAGCTGTGTTCTGATTGTGACAGAATTGCTGGGTTGACTTGGGTTACTAAAAATTTCACCTGCAAAGTGGGGCTGTATGCTCAAAGCATCTGTTCAGGAGGTGATTCATCAGATTAAATGAGTTAGTCTTTCCAGTACTGTCAGCAGGAAGTCATTTTTTTTTTTGTTACTGCGGTTATATAAATGTAATTTATGGTGCTGTTAGATTGCTGCTGCACCGCCTCTTTAATACAGGTGTGTGCCTCCCCTTTGTGTGTGGCAAGCGGGAGAGCAAGCAGTTTCTTGACCACAGTGAAAATGTTGTTTCTGAAAGGCTAAACGCCAGCAAATATGGATTGAAGCAGAATGTTTCATTAGATAGAAACATGTTTTAAAGTTTGGAAATGATTACATCTATCTTTTTTTTCCTATGAATTTTGACTTTTGGACTTAAAAACGCTGGAGTTATTGAAAGGGTTTGGTTCACACTAGTCGGCAACAGTACTACAGCCACCACTGGAATCTATAGGATTGCCATCTTCTCGTTTTGTTGCTTTGTTTACTAGCTAATGTTTTATATATTGGTTGATGAATATTTCTGTAGATAGCTTGTGTATTTTGAGCTCATTTTCCCCACCAAAGTTGAGAGATGGACACTGTGTGGCTTAATTTTTTCAGATAACGATAAGCCATTAAATTACAGTTCGGCAATTTTGAAGAAAACTAATTACAACTACCAATCAGTCATACATCTCAGGACCTTAAACATTGTGCTGTCACAAGTTATATTGTCAAAATTAGAACAATTAAAGCTTAAATCGCTGGGGAGCTACATTAGCATAAATGACAGTCTAAGGTTACAGTAGTGCTGTCATTTACACGCGCAGTCTTAACAAAGCACAGTTATTTGTAGACAGACTAACTACACCACCAATAACATGTAAGACTACATATGGGATCATTTACCTACCTGAAAGAATAGACGAATAGTGACCAGTGAGTTGGCTGCAGTGACGTTAAATGTCTTTGATTATAAATAACTAACCAACAGTCAAACTGTTACATTTTAATATGATATTTAAAACTACTCAGAAGGGCTAATGCTAGCCAGCTAGTTACCTTCTGACCTGGTTATAATTGCAGTCTGGTCAGTAATAACAGGTTGGACCTAACCCTGATGAGTTATATAGCTGTTGGACAGAGCCATGATCTGTTTCAGCATCACGTGATGTGCGTTTTTTTAATTTTATGGAAGGATTTTTCCGTCAAAGGTGAACTAACAGAGATATGATGGGTCATAGTGTCATTCGTCATGCCCGCCCCATTAACTTTGTTAGAAGTGGCACCAAAGTCTGGCTCCAATGCAAAATACAAACTCTGTCATTGACGTCATGTCCTTTCCCCCTTTTCTAGAACGCTCTTTATTCAAAGATTCACCCTCTGGAGAATGGAGAGGTAACACTTGTAGCATTGTAGAGTTGAGTTTGTCTTAGTTTTGGGTGGATTTGAAGGGTTCTAGTGGGTTAGATTGACTCAGGCTGAGATTAAATGGTTGAATCAAGTTTGATGGGGGGGGATTTTGATTGGGTGAGCAGGGTACAGTGAGTTGGGTTGTACTTGGTCAGCTTAAATTGCACTGGGTTCGAAAGGCTTTGGTGAATGCAGGACGAGAGGTGCGGACGGTTGAATTGAGTTTGGTTGTGTGTAGCTGTGTTCTGATTGTGATAGAATTGCTGGGTCGACTTGGGTTACTAAAAATTTCACCTGCAAAGTGGGGCTGTATGCTCAAAGCATCTGTTCAGGAGGTGATTCATCAGATTAAATGAGTTAGTCTTTCCAGCACTGTCAGCAGGAAGTCATTTTTTTTTTGTTACTGCGGTTATATAAATGTAATTTATGGTGCTGTTAGATTGCTGCTGCACCGCCTCTTTAATACAGGTGTGTGCCTCCCCTTTGTGTGTGGCAAGCGGGAGAGCAAGCAGTTTCTTGACCACAGTGAAAATGTTGTTTCTGAAAGGCTAAACGCCAGCAAATATGGATTGAAGCAGAATGTTTCATTAGATAGAAACATGTTTTAAAGTTTGGAAATGATTACATCTATCTTTTTTTTTCCTATGAATTTTGACTTTTGGACTTAAAAACGCTGGAATTATTGAAAGGGTTTGGTTCACACTAGTCGGCAACAGTACTACAGCCACCACTGGAATCTAATTCTAAAAATAGTGTAATTTAAGTGTAGCTGGATGCAGAGAAGGTAAGGTAAAAGGCAGTTTTCTTTGTCTTTAGTAACAGATAAGCAGTTAGGGAGACAGACAAATTCATAAAGAAAAAAAAAAAAAAAAAAAACATGGGCAGGAAACCATTGTAAACAGGGAGTAAGCGATTCCGTGAGAGATTAAAGTAACTCAATAACTGAAAATCATGGATGCAAATTATCTGAATCAAAGCTTCCTTTAGTCAACATTACTATATACAGTGTACTGTGTTTTGCATGAATGATTATAACTGTGACACAATGCGTTACGCTCATCTTTATATAGCTACAGTCTATGGTTACGCTGTGGACACCTGATGTGAAGAAGACACCTGAACATCACACATCCATTCTTGAAACAGAAGACGTGATTTGATAGCAGGGAATGCAAAATGATGGAAGAGAGTGCAAAAATCAAGGGGTGTCCAAAGCTGAAATAAAATAAAACTTTGTACAGTGCGTCTGTTGTCAAAACTAAACTAGCTTACCACAATAACGCAACGAAAATACTTTTGCATCTCAACTTCCTGCCCGAAGAGCAGACCCAGCACAAGGTAACATTAATGTTTGCGTTAACAATAGCCTCTCTCTGAAGCCAGCACCTGGAGCTCCCTGCTTTTTGGCAGGCAAACTGGACGAGGCTAAACCTGGGGACCCCTGTTGGCGGATGAGCGAGGAGCTCAGGGCAGCGCAGAAGGAAGCCAGACACCATTCATATACATAAACTGCTGGGACAGAAAGCTGCTTGACAAACATTTCCAAATTGATTGCAGACTTTTACTTACTGTGTTTATTTTCTTGAGCAAAACTAAGCTAACGTAAAGAAGTACTTAACCGCTGGAAAGATGGCCTTTTAATAAAACTAGGCTGTCTTTGCAGTAGAAAGTAGCAAGCACTTTTGAAATTGGTGCTACAGAACAAGAGAAAACAGAGATACAGTACGCTTTTGCTCAAGAGGGAGAAAACCAGCAACTACTAGAATGCACTGCGTCGCTCCAGACCAATAAACGCCCCCTGCTAGTGGGTGAGATAATGCGAACACGTCCTTTTGAAACTATGGCAGCTGGCTGGCAAGAAACAATCTCGATCTCGTACAGTAAGGCGAAACATGTTTTGGAGAAATAGCCATTCAGTAAAGTATCTTGGTTTATATTTGACCAGTGCTGCTTAGTTTAACTGTTTGATCTCAGTTTTTTGGGCCACCGTTTTCACCGTGCAGGAAACAGTATGGCACCCACTTCCTGTTCAGAAACTCTCGCTATTACAGCTAAACAGTGCACTAAAATATGTTTCTAAAAACAATGTAGAAATAGGCAACATAATCTTGATAAATAATCAATCAGCACTGGCTCATTTTACCACTTGATTGGATTTCGTTCCGAGTTTGAGAGAGATGGGAGGGTCTGTCTCTTGATCTGCTACTATACTCTTTGTGTTCATGGTGGCAGCCTGGGTGGTGGGCAATAAGAAAATGTGGAAGTACAGCCTGTAGTTCGAGCAACAGTGTGAGAGCCAGTGAAACTTTGCTGGATGACATAAATCAGAGTTATCAGGATATCTAGGCACTGGTACGTTGGGAAGTTCACCACAGTTCATTCACACATACTCATACACTCAAAGTACCCTTATAAGGACATGACCACAGAAAATAATATGCTGCAGTCAAATTATGAAAAGCCGAGCTTCATGCATGTTATTATTATTATTATTATGACAGTCACAGACACAAAAACATGCACACCCACCCGCCTACAGTACTCCCCACACAGTGATCCATAAAACATCCCAAAAATCAAAATATCAGGTGGTGTAAGCAGCAGTTGCCTAATTATTGTTGCAGTAAGAATGTAAGCAGTAAAAATGTTACCAATCAGTTGTTCATTTAAGTGACCTGTCTTATTTTCTCTTTTGTATATTTACTATTGGTAGAATACTTGATTCCTAAAATTTTCAATAGCTGTAGCCCTGGATTAAGTGTGCAGGCAGGTGATGGTCAGAGTCAGGGAATATCTGGAGGTGCTGAGAGCGACAGGTCTGGAGGGGAATCTCAGGAGCAGAGTTGTTGCTACAGTAGTGAACATGTGTAATAACCATAACCTGTGAAAATGAATTCAGAGCTCAACTTGCAGCACCAGGTCAAACTGTATGAAATCATGACAAAAAATCATAAAATATAGAAAAGAAAGGAAAAACTTTACATGTTGGGTTTAAAACTAAAAAGATAGAAGCTTGTTTCCCAAAAAGTGGCTCTATTTCTGTTCATATATGCAGAACTATTAATATAATTTTAATCACTGATAGCAAGCACACACTGACACACACGTGTTCGCACCACTGTTTACTGTTATGTCGCTTTGATCAGCTGTGTGTGTGATTGCACCCAGTAAGAACAGAGGGGCAAGCCTGCTATTACTGTCATTAATGAAGAGAAAGAGAAACATACACACACTCACACACAAACACACTTGCAGCGAAAACAAATTAATCGCACATCTACATCTCCCACACAGGCCATTAATTGTCGATGCCTGTCTGAATATGTATACGTGTTTACATGGGTGCCGGTGTGCGTGCTTGCACATGCTTGCATAGATGTGTGTTCGGTGTGTCTCCTTGTGTGTTGTGTGTCTGTGTCCTGCGGGGGAGCGCTCGAGGGGGTGCGAGCTGGGAGATGTCAAGAGCTGCAAGTAACGACGGAGGTGTCTGAATGTGTGCATGAACTGTGCGTGTTTGTGTGCGTGTGTGTGTGTGTGTGTGTGTGTGTGTGTGTGGTTGACAGCTCCCCAGCCGTCTGATCACAGTGAAACCATAATGAGTCGTAGGCGATGTGTCACAGCATCGCACACACATTCACAATGTCACCCCACCACTCATCACACACGCACACATACACAACCGTCTCCTTCGTTACTTCCAAGTGTGCAGCTTGCACCCATCAAGTGTTCCCCTTGACACACACACACACACACGCACACACACGCACACATGGACAGCCCACTCTGTAAGACTTTTTCACAGATCCCAAATGTTGCTTTTGGCCACATTTGTGAGACAGACAGATGGACAGACATGCAGGCAGACAGGACCTCACACTCCTTGTTATGTGGCTGTGTGTTGATTATCGGTGATGCAGAATATAAATTCGTATTTATTTTTCTCTACACCGATTTAGTGGTAAAGCAGGGAAGTTACAATACAAAATGTCAGTTTCAAAATGAAAGTGTCTTCCAGTAACAGCAACATGTTACTGTATAAGGTGTCCTGATGCAGAGAAGCAACACACTCTGCGGACAGAGGCCTCATTTTGTATTACAGTAATCTTGGACTGGGCCTCATCAGTTATTTTCGTTTGTCAGGACACCATGATGTATGGTGGCTTTAAGAGGTCAACGCACTGCAAATTAAGAAAACACGTGCTTATAGACAACACAAGCAAATTTAGAAACATCAGCAACATTTAGAGAAAACGCTGCAAGAAGCTCACAACAAAGCGGCAAGCTCTGGCTCTGAAAATGACGCCATCGTGCAAGTGCCAAAAACTGCAGTTCCTTGAATAGCCACTTGAGGCTGGCCCACACTCACAGCAAAAATGGTACAAAAATGGTTTTGGTCTCCATTGCTAATTTCCACATTCATGGCAACTGTACGGGGGGGGGGGGGGGGGGGCTCGAGGTGTTCCCAGGCCAGACGAGATATGTAATCCCTCCAGCATGTTCTGGGTCTGCCCCGGGGCCTCCTACAAGTGGGACGTGCCCAGAACACTTCCAGAAGGCATCCTGGTCAGATGCCCGAACCATCTCAGCCGGCTCCTTTTGACACAAAGGAGCAGCGGCTCTACTCCGAGCTCCCTCCAGATGTCCGAACTCCTTACCCTGTCTTTAAGGCTGAGCCCAGCCACCCCACAGAGGAAGCTCATTTCAGCCACTTGTTTCCGCGAACTCATTCTTTTGGTCACTACCTAGAGCTCATAACCATAGGTGAGGGTTGGGGCTCAACTGTTTAAAGTTACACGTTAAAAAGGGCATGGCCACTTTGACACAGTTTGCTACAGTCTATGAATCAGATCCACCGCTTGCTCCTCCACGCAGCCACCCTTTTGTCCAAATTTGGTCACCTCTGGCTCTTAAAATCCAAGATTGCAACAGCCAAATGCCGAATTTGAGGATCCACAAGCCAATACGTGATGTCACTGTACAGTCTATGCTCACAACACTGTTCCCACTGTTCCCACTAAAAAGTGATGCACATGGCTGGGAGACACAGCGGATGCTGCTGCATTGTTGTCATTATCCATTTTAGAAAATAACCTAGTTTTTTGGTCTTTTTAATCTTTAATTTTAATCTTGTTGCAGATGTCTGCTGCTAACCTAGCTTTAGCCTTTTGCTTGTCATTATTTTCTTAAAATCATGCAATCACAATGACTGATAACCAACTTTAGTAACTTCATAAACCACAAGCCGTGGCAACAACAAGCCTGTCGTAGCTGTGTGCATCAGTTTTTAGTCTCCCCTGAAAACAGTTTCCGTTGTGTTGTGAGCTTCTTGCAGCACTTTTTCGAAATGCTGCGCACATGTCGACAAGTCAGTGTTTTTGGGTGCTGTGAAGTTTTTGTTCTCTAAATGCTGCGCATGTGTTGTGTCTATTTGGATGTATTTTTATAATTTGTGGTCCGTTGAGCTCTCAGGGCCCTGGCATTGATGTCCATTATCAAACTTTTTAAGGTTGTGTGGTTTTATTTATGTTAAACAAGATTAGGATCTGTTAAAAGAGTTCAGACCCACTGAGTTAATGTATGTCTCTTTCTTTGTCTCACCTGCTCAATCAGCAAAGTGAAAATAGGATCACATTGAATCTGAAGATGGGGTGCACTGCTTTGCTACAGTTTCCAGGCTGAACATTATGTGTCCTCAAAACGGTGTGAAACGATGTGCAACCTGGTTGTATAATACATCCATGTGCTGTACCTTGTCTGCAGTGATGTATATAAACCCTGCTGTATTTAAAAGTGGCAGTGCTCTTGTGTTACACAACAAGGTGGCAATTGTGGCAGGTGTCTGCAGTTAGTCCAAACAGTGATTGATTGAGCGCTGACACATTGTATAGGAAAGGGGGAAATTACTTTTTTTATGAAAATTGGTCCACTAATGGGTTGTGTGTGTGCCTATAAAAAAGAAAATCTCTTTCATTTTTTATTTCAACGAAACACCACATTTTTTGCACACTGCCTGTACTAGTACTGCTTCTTTTCAAGATTCCCTTAAAAGTTTCCATTTCCAGCCACCTTACTGCTCTTTACCAGGGTTCCTGCAGATCCTTGGAAAGTCTTGAAAGGCATTGAATTCTTTAATCTTATAATAAGGCCTTAATTGGTATCAAAATGTCTTAAATCAATCTTTTAAAGGTCTTAAAAATGCAAAGACATTGGAAGTAGGATTTTATTAATCATTTTTTCCTAACGTTGCATTGTAAAATCTCAAAATAACTGGAAAGATCTTTATTTCTTAAATAATTGACCAAATGCCTCTCGCATTAACGTCACACAGATCAGGACAGTTGAACCAACAACACTTAAATTTTGATCTCAGCCGCGATGCCCAGAGCAGTTGATCCACTGTCTGCTAGCTAGCTGTTACTATAGCTTGGATGACACTGGGAAGTGCAAATTCAAGGACAACTGTCTATTTAACCAAGATTTTATGGCTTTGAGGCTCCATGTTTTTATGCAAAAGGTTTGTCAAACTTGCCACGACAGAAAGCAAAGCAAAATATTTGCAAGTTTTGTTCTACCCTTTTGTCCGCCACTCGATGAAGAAGTCATTTTTTATGCAACAATAAACGTGGGCAAAAGTTTGCCTCCTCCCAACATAATTGATGTTGGTCATTTTTTTGTCCTCTGTAATGGGCAGTATAAAATTGGTCTTAAATTTTATTCTGAGTGGCATTAAAACATCTTAAAATGTCATAAAGCTGTAGGGACCCTGTTCAAGTGGTTGGTGGCACCACTGTATTACGTCCTTTAGAATAACATCTGAAATCTGTATGCTTAATTTTTCTCTTGGCACCACAGTACAACACACACATTATTCTCTTTCCTCACCCATTATGGAAGCTGTACTTCTTTAATTAAAGGTGTTACATTAAACATCCTTTTAAATTTCACTTATATTATTATCTAATTAAATGTGACTTAGTGACTGAAAACAACTAACACCACAGTTCAAGAGATTTGGAGCCTCCATTTCAAAGTCTTGACTTTTTAGCTTATGCAAGTCTTTTTGAAATTTAAGATAGTAAACAACACTTCCTGTTACAACAAACTTGTTGCTACTCCTCCTCCTCCTCCTTCCGATCTGTTTATGTTTTTTGTCTGTTTGGCTTCACTGAAGACGCTTCTCACTCCCTCCGCCATCTGCCACTGCGAGCAACTAAAAGCACCTTTAATGCCTCAGCACAGTCTCTCACGTTAACTCTGCTGCGCCGTGTCACCACTTACCTGTCTGTCTGTGTATAGATCCACACATCTCTGATCAATGGCCGGCCCAGTGCGGATGACCCCTCCCCGACGCTGCTGAACTTCACCTCCGCCCGCTACATCAGGCTGGTGTTCCAGCGAATCAGAACGCTGAACGCCGACCTCATGACTCTGACACTCCGTGACCCGAAAGATATTGATCCTATTGTGACGAGACGGGTGAGGCTCAGCACACTCTTATGTTCGCTTCTGTTCTTTTGGAAATTAGAGATATCTGCCAGGAACACATAGGTAAAGAGTGACTAAATTATGTTATATTTATTTTATTCAGAGGTAATATATGCTTCATAATGTTGATTCTGTTTTAACAGCTAAAACATGGAAATAGCAGAAACTTTATTGTAACCATGGGATTAGTTTAATGTGAATAACTTTTATGAAAACTTGTGTCATTTATCTTGACTAGTGTATATTGTTTATATTATATTGAGACATTTTTTTGTAAGTTGCATTTTTATTTGATTAATTTTTCACTTATCATTTAATAACTAATTTAATTACATGATGATGATGATGATGATGATGACAGAAAGGGTTGAACAGATTTTACTTGAGCAAGCATGTAGGAAATGTGTGTGGAACGGGGCATCAGTAGTCTTTGACCTCACTTCAGACTCCCAGGTTCTTTTGTTTGTTGAAAATGAAACTAAATCAACTGAAATCAAGGCACCAACATCTGCGAGTGAGATGTTGTAATTATGACTGTTTGATGTGTGAGTCAAGAAGCAGAGCTCCAAAAAGGTGGGGAAGTCGGCAATTGTGAAGATTGTGGGCAGCTGTAGTTCTGAAGGGGTCGAACCTGAGTTCCACATGTTTGAGGTCTTGTTTAGACTCTCAAATCCATTTTTTGGGATATCCAGGTTGATTTTAGAAAGTCTGGACAGTAGTGTTGCACGGTATATCGGTACTAAAATAGTACCGCAGTACTAGAGTATTCCAAACGGTACTACACTGCATTTGGAAAATACCGGTACTTTGAAACTGATTCAATTCATTAATTTAGTTAATTTATTTTACTCATTTATGCACACAAAGGCCTTTCTTGTTCCTATTGGAGCACAGATTGCACAAGTGGTGTGTATGACAACACCTGTATCAACATTTTCAGCTGGCTCATGTGAAAAAAGACAAGAGTAAGTCTGCCTCGCAAAGGGAGACAACACGAGACAACACAAACTTGGTGGGACATTTGAGCAACCAAACCATGATGTCCGTACCGAGGTACATACCGAACCATGATTTTTTTGGTATCGTTACACCCCTACCATTTATTGTTCTAAAGGTTTGTATCCAAAAAGACTTTTCTTTAGGAAAAGTACCAAAGAGTATCGAAAAGTATTGAAATTCATATTGGTATTGGTACCGAAACAAAGATTTTGGTATCGTGACAAGACTACTGGACAGTAAAAAACAAAACAAAAACAAAAACACATAACATGCTAATTGGATCCAAATCACATTTGGAGGTGGTATGAAATGCGCTCTCTACAGTTGCGTCTCAGTCCAGAAGGTCTGGTCACTCAAATCGTATTTCAAACTGTCTTTGAATGCGACACACAACAACCTCAAATCCAGAGTAATGAAAGCGCTGAGCAGAATCTATGCTGCTACTAGCAGAGCGCTATGAAAGACAGCGTGGCGGGTGCGACGAAAGACTTATGCACTGACTTGAAAGGGCTATTTTTTGGAGGGCGAAATGATAGACCTCTTTTTGTCACTCTTCCGCATTGGAAGGCTGCATCACCAGTTTCTCTACGTAGTTACTGACCCTAGCGTCATTACCACAGGAACCAATGCAAATTGGCTGGTGATGTCTTGACACACAAATCAGATTTGTTCACTTGCAAATAACTAAATAAAGATATGATTTGTGAAACAAATCTGATTCGCCTGCAGACTGAATAGGGCTGGGTGTTAGTACTCAATACCTTTGAAAGTGTCGACCGAAATAACCCAGTACCAAGCAGTATTAAGACGTCTCCACTCAAACACATCCTGCATTTGATCCTTTTTGCACGGGGGGTCTGATCCCAGACCGTTCAGACTCCCCACCTGATCAGCAAACTTTCTGTTGCTGCTGTCTGTGGAACAGTTCTCATCCCAGTGAACAGTCCTCCCGATGAGTGTGAGCTGATGCAGCAGCAGTGATAATGTACAACATAGACATAGAAACGGCTTGACTCTGTCACTAAACCCATTCATAACCGTTAGCATTTCCACAGCTAATGTTACAGTTAGCGCTGTCATTGTGTGAATGCAGCCAGGCGAACTCTTCCAACTCTCCTCGGAGCTCACACTCATGCAGCAGCATCTACCACCCATACAGTCTGTGTTGTGGTGAAGTCGAACATGGTTTGTTTGACGGAGTTGGCAGTCAGCGTGCCAAGATGTCTCCAAAACAATGGCTAAACTACACGCCACTCCATTCACATTATGGGTATCAAATAAAGGACTCTATTGGTACCGTATCACTTCAAGGGTAATGGTATTGTAGTTTTCTAAATGATACCCAGCCTCTGTCTGAATGTAGCCAAAGTGTCCTTGGAAACTGAACCCCAAATTGCTCCTGATGCTCATCACCAGGCCAACACCTTGCATCCTTGCATTGTGGCTCACTGCCATCTGTGTGTGTGAGTTGGTGAATAAACGGCAAATTGTAGAACAATTTGGTTAAAAGTGCTACATAAATGCAGCCATTTATCATTTACTGGTACTGCTGTTCAACACATCCCCAGGTGTGAAGTTTGGCACACCATCATGACATCATGACATCATCTGTTAGGTCAGGATGTCCTTTTTAAAGTGTCACCACTGAGATAAAAGAGAGCAGTCTAGTTCTAATTCTGCCTGTTTAACTGCTAATGTGCTCATTAACACTGTTGTATTATCACATATTCTCACTTCCTGTCTGTTATTTTTCAGTACTATTATTCCATTAAGGACATCTCAGTCGGAGGGATGTGTATCTGTTACGGCCATGCCAAAGCTTGTCCACTCAACCAAGTTACAAAGGTAAATACTTAACTCTCTGTTTCTCCCAGTCCACTTAACAAAACCACCGAGGTATTGGAGCGCCAATGTACTGTTGAGCAGGAGCAAAGAGCACCCTTGGGCACCTGCATTGTATCTACCGCCTCGTATCAAACTGTGTGTGTGTGTGTGTGTGTGTGTGTGTGTGTGTGTGTGTGTGTGTGTGTGTGAGAGAAAGTGTTAGAGTGTGGTGAGCGAGAGAGAAAGATCAGGTGTCTGGTATCAAACACTCCACTGTTTGAAGTGTCACGAGAGACGACGCTTCACTGTGTCACCTGTGTCCCCTGCAGACAGGCACACAAACACACCCCAACACACACACACACACACACACACACACACACACACACACACACACAGTCTTGTGTCCTTTACGTGTCCTGAGGCTGAACCACGAAGACTAGCTCAGATGTGACACTGGTGTCTGGTCCCTTGGTGATGATGTCATTGACAATAAGTGATGTCACTGTTGTGTAAAGAGCTCCAGTTTCTTCTTTTCTCTTCTCTCTTCTTCTCTTCTGTAAAGGACATATTACAGAGGTGTTCGAAATTGACCGAAGAAAGCAAACCAATGATGTATTTGTTCTAATAAAAATCTGTATTTTCCCAAATAATTAAAGTAAATTAAGGTCCAGTGTGTAAGACTTAAGGTGATTCAGTGGCATCTAGCGGTGATTGCAGATTGCAACCAGCCATACTTATCCTGGTTAGAGTTCCTTTAGTATTCATTTGTACAGGAGGTTCATACCATGGGCTGAATTATCCACAGAGGTCACTTCCTCTCGAAAATAACCGGATCAGATGATTAAAACTGGTAAAAACACTGAGTAAAGCAGTTTCATGTTACAAAACAGGTTTTTGTCTAAGCTGTTTGGCTCATCAGAGGCAGGCCTCTAGCACAGCACCTGCTAATGTGCACTTACCGTCTTTCTCTGATAACTTAAGATGCAGACTTTTAGGAAGTTTTTACTGGGAGGCAAATTATCCGCAGAGGTCTCTTCTTGTCCAAAGCAAACAAACCCTGTAATTTAAACCAATGAAAACACAGAATAAAGCAGTTTCATGTGAAAAACAAAACAGTGTTTCTTAAGCCCTGCTTGTTGCGGAGGGGCTGCTAACAATGGTGGCTGACCTGAAAACACGAAAATGTAAATGGTTCTCCCTTGAGCTAGTGTTATATTTGTCCGTTTAGGGTTACTGTAGAAATGTGGACTGCCTTTGTAGACATAAACAGCTCATTCCAAGGTAGCAAAAACACAACAATTCTTATTTTCAAGTGATTATACACTAAAGAAAATGTACTTATTATATTTAACTTCTGCTAATACATCCCCTAAATCCTGCACACTGGACCTTTAAATTGCATATTTTTTAGTACAGTAAGAAATTTCAAACTCGCTTGTCATGCATCTCGTTGAACATTGCTTCAATTTAATTTTGTGTCATTCTTATGTCCCTTTTGAATGCTATTGACTTAACATGTTTGCTGTTATTGTGTGATCACAGAAAAACATGAATTCACGACAATTTTCTAGTCAATCTCCAGCAATTCAAGTCTCAACAACTTTAGATTCATGCCATAGAGACATGCTAAAATTAGCAGCTGCGTGGAAAGTGGTTAAAATGAAAAAAAACCCAAAAACTTCTAAATAGAACTGTTTGCAAACACGTGTGTTTAAAGGAATACTCCGATGATTTGGGAGTTATGCCCTTTCTCTGTCATTTTCATATTGAGACAACATGATTGATATTTTTTGTGTCTGTACGTCCAGTGGCTGGGTCTCAGCAGTTAGCATTGCGCTTATAGGGGGTCAGTACCCTACCCTAAGTGAACAAATATACGTTACAGAAACCCTGAAGCTGGAATTTCTGCATGTGCATTTAAAACAAGCATGTTTAAACATTAATTCAAAAAACGAGTCCTTTTTAGTCGTTTTAGAAGAAGTTTGATACACAGAACTATAGTGTGTTTACGTCCTGCGTGGAGGGATACACCAGTGAGCAACAGCTGCAGCTGGCTCTGGGACAGGTATGCTAGGTCACTTGGTAAAAGCAAACTAAGCATCCAACACCTGGAGTTCCTCATCTGTATACTCTGGCTCAAACAGCTATGGCTCTGCAGGTACTATAGTCCGGAGAGATATCGCTAGGCTAAATAAACAACTGAGTTTTGTTTACAGGCTACGTCTGTGCCTGTGCCTGCTCACCGGTGTATCCCTCCGTGGATCACAGCGCAGTACGTACTGACCCCCTATAAGCGCAATGCTAAACGCTGAGACCCAGCCACTGGACGTACAGACACAAAAAAGATATTGATCATGTTGTCTCAATATGAAAATGATAGAGAAAGGGCATAACTCCCAAATCGTTAGAGTATTCTTTTAAGGGTTCAGATAAAAGTCATCAGTGGGTGGATATAGTATTCGGTCCAGCTGAATAAAAATAGTGTATTTTTAAACGTGTTTCTGCTTGGGTACTACATAATTAGTCATATATAATCTATCAGGCCCTAAATGTGAATTTTGAAGAGATTTTCTCAAGCCCTCTGTTCCCAAAAGACATTAAGCTCCACTACTTTGATACAAGTTCATCCATCCATGCAGTTAAGTCCTGGGCAGGCGTTCAGAAAGCAGAAAAGGTGGAGACCTGCGAGATGATTTGTTGATGATCGTCTACAGAACATTTGTTCAGATGCATGCTCAGTACAAAGGCAGCCCGAAGCCAGAGCTGTAGCGCTGTGTCTCAGATAAAAGGGGCAAACTCACTTGTGCCAACAAATCCAAACTTGGCTCTCGCTACGCTATTGTACCGCTTTCCTCTCAGTTAAATCTGGCACCCTCTTCACATCAACCAATTTACAGAAAGTCCTAAATTGAATTACTGAACCTCGAAGTTGGCAAATTTCCTGCTACATTCTGCTTTGACTGTGTTTAGTTTTGAATTTATTTCTCTCCTGGGAGCGTAATGGTGAACCCATTTGCTACCGGCTGACAATCTGGAAAGTGAACCGAGTTCTTTTATTGCAGTTGGCTCTCCTGTGAATACATTGTTGTTTGATAGGCTTTCAATAGGTCATGCATGTTGGTAATTACCTGTTTGCAGACCTCCATTTTCACATTCGTGTGAATGATTTGATGCCACATGGTGTGACACAAAGGAAACAATTTACACACCCTCAACCACAGTAACAACCTTTTAGTTTATGACACTGAAAATGTATTATCACACAGTAAAAAGCCATCTTAGCGTGAAATCTCAATGTAGTTATCACATTAATACCAACCCAAATTTTTGTTTTGTTTTGTATTTTGAACATTTCAAAGTAGCCTTACGCCAGCTGACATAGTTTAAAGGGACCTCCTATGATTTTTTTCTTATTTTCTGTCATATTTATAAAATTACATTGTCAGTTGTTCATATTAAATGTGGCCAAATGTTCAAATAATGAGGTTAATGTATGTAAAAACAATTTGTGAGCAAAAACTTCAGGCTTCAGATTGTTATAAATGCTGTTTCCAACAGATTCAACTTTAGAAACAAGCTGACGTCAGCTCGTGATAGGATTCTTTACATGGTCATCAGCTCCAGGAACACTACTGCAAGTTTCTGCCTGCACTGCAGAAACTTGTCATTTTGGTTGCCTTTGTTGTTAATTTCTCCCCAGTTTCTGATCACATTTTAGCCGGAACATATCCCATTGTTAAGATTTTGGATCTGTGTGCCGCGATGGCTGCTGGGTAGACGCGTTTCAGCTCAGCTCCTACCACCATGCAAACAATTCATTTATTTTTTACTAAAGATCGCAATATATAGACTACCACAACGCTACCATATGTATACGTATGTGTATGTATATGCATGTGTGTATGTGCGCATGTGTATGTGTGTATGTATGCGTGTGGGCCTGTGTGTTTATGTGTATATACATATACATATATATTGTTTGGTTTTTCTTTGTATGCATGTGGCCACTTGTCTGTTAGTGGATTGTGTTGACCTGTAACAGTTGTTAACAATCGGTATATTTTATTTTATTTGGATTAGCCCTGGAAGTAGGTTGTAGACTGACTAATATTAAATCTGCCATGTACTAGCAGCTGGATATCTTTGTTTTTTTTATAAATATTTTTTGAATCAAATTGCAGGTGGGAGGGAGAGCTGTGTAGGGGTGAGTTTTGGGGAGAAAACTTAGAGGCAACAGCAGCTTATGCTTCCACAGTGTAACCCAATGGCAAGCTGGATATTTACTTACAACACTCCTGTCTTGTCTTAAATTTAGTACAGATCATGATATTTCACTGTATGGAAGTCGTTTTTTAGGTAATTATTTTGATTCATGTGATGATGGAATTTTTATTTCTTTTATTATTTTTTTTTCTTTCTCTTTTTTTTGTCTAACAGCACCTTTCTCATTGGTAAATTTAGTCATAACTTTACTGCAAATTCAGATGGCGAAGCCAAATGTGTTGAAAACGGAATAGGATGAGTGTTACTAAGATCACTACGCTCAACATTAAGGGAATCAACAGTGTAGTTAAAAGACACAAGATATTATCAGAGTTAAAGAAAATCAATACTGGAATATCTATGTTACAAGAGACACATCTCACTGACACTGAACATTTAAAACTTAAGAGGGAATGGGTTGGACAGGTATTTTATTCTTCGTATAATTCTAAGAGCAGGGGAGTACTAATATTAATTAATAAAAAGCTCAATTTTACCATTGATAAAATATTATCAGATACAAATGGAAGATATATTCTAGTAGCAGGTTTCCTTTTTGGGGACTACGTGTTAATAGGGTCTGTTTATGCACCGAATGTGTATGACAGAATATTCTACTCTAGACTTCTGGCTGATGTTTCATCCATAACCACCAATTATACAATCTTGGGGGGAGATTTCAATTGTGGCCTTGATATGGCAATGGATTATAATCCTCCCAAACAATTATCACCAACAAAAATGTTAAAGGCAACAAGAGAACTGTGTTCTGAATTAGGATTACTGGATGCATGGAGAATAACAAGTCTCAAAGAAAGAGATTTTACATTCTATTCATGTCCACACAACTGCTACTCAAGAATCGATTACTTATTTGTATCAAGATCTATTTTAGATCTTACTAATTTATGCAGGATTAATCCATGTGTCTTTTCTGATCACTCCTCAGTTAGCATAGAATTAGACCCTCCATATCATGACCCCTTGTCTAGACATTGGCGTCTAAACCCCATTTTGCTCAGTGACTCTTCCTTTATTAAATATTTTAAAGAACAGTGGGACATTTTTCTATCTGCAAACAGTACTCCAGATGTATCTGCATCAATATTATGGGAAACTGCCAAGGCTTTTATGAGGGGGACTATTATTTCATATACTTCTGCTAAGAGGAAAAAAAAAATTAAGACACAGCTTGAATTGGAAGATATAATAAACAAGCTAGAAACTGAATTTAAATCCTCATCTACTAAGAAAAATCGACAGAAACTTGAAACTGCTCGCTCCTCCCTTGACCAGCTTCTTACTGAAAAAGCAGAAAAGGCAATTTTCCAGGCAAAACATAAGTTCTTTGAGCATGGCAACAAACCAGGAAAGCTATTGGCTCGCTTAGTCAAGGGCCGAAAGGAACAAAATATTATACCTTCACTTGTAGACAAAAATGGTGTGAGACACTCTGAAACAAAACATATTATCCAAATCATGAAGGATTTTTATGGAAAGTTATACACATCTGAATGCAAATACAGCTCTACATTGAGTAACAGTTTTTTCGACAAAATAGCATTGCCAACTCTGCCTGAAGATGCAAGGACAACTTTATGCTCACCAATCTCTGAACAGGAAGTACGGGAGGCTATTGGAAACCTACAAGGGGGGAAAGCACCAGGACCAGATGGGTTCAGTTCAGAATTTTATAAACAGTTTACAGATTATATAGTGGGTCCCTTAACCATTATGTTTTCTGAGTCATTCACTTATGGATGTCTTCCTCCCACCCTCATTATGGCTCACATATTTCTAATATTGAAAAAGAACAAACCTCCTGAGAGCTGTTCCTCCTATAGACCTATCAGTCTACTGGGAGTAGACTGTAAAATATTGTCCAAGATACTTGCCACCAGGCTGGAGAGATTCCTTCCAAACTTGATTAACCATGACCAAACAGGATTTATTACTAATAGGCACTCCCATACAAATATGCAGCGATTATTGAATGTTATCCAGTACTCACAAACCACTAGAACCAATATTCTTGCCATATCGTTAGATGCAGAAAAGGCATTCGACAGGGTTGAATGGGAGTATTTATTTGATGTAATGAAAAGGTTTAAGTTGGGGGATTCTTTTATCAATTGGGTGAAAATTCTATATAAAACACCTATGGCCAAGGTACTTGTAAATGGACGTAGCTCAGACCCATTCTATCTCCAGAGAGGGATGCGCCAAGGGTGCCCTTTGTCACCCCTCCTTTTTGCTCTATCTCTTGAGCCATTAGCAGAAATGATTAGGAGGCATAAAGAAGTTAATGGAGTTGAATTGGCGGGAGTGGATCACAGAATTGCGCTTTACGCAGACGACTTTCTGCTTTTTGTTAGAAATCCTGAATCCTCAATCCCTATAATCCTCTCTATTATAAATGAATTTTCTAAAATCTCAGGCTACAAAATTAATTTTGAGAAATCCGAAGCTGTCCCTTAGGGAATCTTAACCAGCCTTCTGATTTCCCTTTTAAGTGGTCATCATCTGGATTTAGCTACCTTGGAATTAGAATAACTGCAAATCTCGACCATCTTTACAAACAAAATTTTACAAATATTATTGCAGGAATAAAAACAGATCTAAATCGCTGGATGGATTTACCCTTATCTTGGTTGGGCAGAGCGAGCCTGATAAAGATGAATATACTACCGAGGCTTCTTTATCCAATGCAAATGCTCCCTCTCTATATTAAAAACCGCAATTCAGGACATAGAAAAGTCAATTTCCAGATATTTATGGCAAGGGAGGAAAACCAGAGTGAAAATTAAAACACTGCAACTTCCTATAAACAGAGGGGGGATAGCCCTACCAAGTCTTCTTTATTATAACTGGGCTTGCCATGCCCAAACAATTTATAATTGGATACACAACTTTTTAGAAACCAAAAAATCCCATATTGACTCCTGGTGTTGCCACCCCCACTCCTTATTAAGTTATCTGTCAGGTAATGTCCAGCTCCCATCAGATAGATCAGATCAACAATACTTTTTTTTTTTTTAAATCTGGCAACCAATTTTAGAGCATCTGCCATATGAAATCTCAGACTTACTACAGAGGGGTGGATTAACTCTCAGAATGAATTCCAATTGATTTTGTAATTTTAATTTAAGAATGTATCTTTTCATCAACCCCCTTTTCCTTAAAAACTTGTGACCTAACACAGGAATGGAGTAAATTTTTCTTTTGTGCTATGCTTGTCCTGTGATGTATATTGTTGATGCTGCCATTTTGCTATGATTTGTGATTCAGGTGCTCTCATGCTTGTTTGTTTGTTTGTTTGTTTGTTTGTATGTTTGTCTTTCTTTCTGTTGTCCTGTTTTGTTTTTCTGTTTCCTTTTGCATTCTGAAAATTAAAATCAATTGAAAAAAAAAAAAAAAAAAAAGATTTTGGTTTAGAATCTCTTATTGGTGATATTTTTTATGGTAGAAATTGCCACTATAGTTACGCCATTACTGTCATTCCCTGGCTGCAAGTACACTGCTACATGTGCTCTGGTACTAATATCATGTTATCTCGGTTGCTGATGTGAATTTCTTCCTGATTTTGGATCATAATTCTGCTGGAACATGTTTGGTTGTAAAGATTTTGGTTCAGAACCTGAAGCTACATGCTAATGTCAGGGAAACATGTAATCTTGGTTGCCTGTGTTGTTAATTTCTCCCATATTTCAGATCATACTCCTGCTTGAACATGTCAGTTGTGCTTAAAAGCTATTATTAGTGATCTATACAGGGTAGAAAGTGCTCCAGTCATTTCCCCATGCTACAATGACAGTACAGAAACACCAAGATGCAGAGGACCTGAAAACACTGACCAATCAGAGCGGACTGGGCTTTTTCAGGAGGTGGACTTAAAGAGACAAACGCTAGAATGCAGAGTCTCAGACAGAGGATAAACACAGGTGTTCCAGCACAGATAGTAAGAGAAAAATAAATTGTGTTTGACCATTAAAGCGTGTAAACATGTTCTAGTAGAAACTCAGAATAGAAGTATGAGCTTGAAGAAGAGCATAATAGGTCCACTTTAAAATTCTCACCTTGCTGCAGTGATAAGTATACTCATGGAGTGGTCAGCGCCACCCTGACATCTCTGGTAGGTGTGGTTACTCAGGCAAAAGACCACAAACTCTCAACCAGAAAGACAAAACAAGTGAAAAAACATTTAAACCTTATGACAGGGTCTACGCTAGACTTTTTTTTTTGATGGCCAATTACCGAATTCCAGCTTTATACAGAAACTACTAGACATATATTTTAAATAGACTCCAAACTTCAGATTAAACAACTTGAAAATAAGCTAAATGAAGAAGAAGCCTGTTGAACCAAGTGACTAATCACAGGTTTAGTCAAAGAGGCAAAGGAGGAAAAAGATTGAGTGCAGCAAGCGCCACTGGAAATCACTTAGCCAGCTATCCACCGTCTGGCTCGCTGTGGGGTCAGGCATATCTTTAGTCTGATCTATGAGGAGACCTGCTGTGTGTTTTAAAGTCTTCCTGGAGAATGTGATCCATGATGCCGTCACCTAACTACATCAAGAACACTAAGAGGAAGACCCTGACCGCTGAGGATGTGGCGTATGCTCTGTAGAGGCAGGGTGCACTCTGTATGGTTTCGATGGATAAACAGATCCGTTGGTAATTAATATCCCCAAATCTGGTCTGCATAGAATAAGTTTGTATTTAACTTTTCTTTGCAACATATCTTATACAGTAGATCACACAATATTAAGCTATTTAATACGCTAAAAATGTATTTTTTTATTTGGCATATTTCCCACCAAACATTTTGGCCACTGATATTTTCATCTGCTGGACAACTACTTGTGATACCAGCAAAAAGGCGGCATACACCGGCTAATGTAAACCATCCCTGGTTACTTTTACAAATAGAGAACTGTGGTACTTTAATTATGTCAGAGAGTATTCTGCAAAGTTAAAGACAGCTGGTTTGTGACCTGCACTTTGTCCCCTAATCCAGGGAACTGGCATGTGGTTGAAACCGCAGAATAAGAATGAATCAATGTCAAGCCAAGACCAAGACATTTTGAAATTTAGATGTTTTTCCCTCACCAGACACTTGACAGACGGTGGCTACACTGGAATTCAAATTTGACGGTGACTCAGATTGTTACCATGTTAAGCCATCTCGTTGAGATGAGCTTCCGCCTACGGTAGCAGACAGTCCATTTACTGAAACAGTTGCTCATGTCTGTTTAATTGACAAATCTGTGAAACTGTTTCTTCGTGTGTTTGTGTGTGAATCTGTGTCTCTGTGTGTGTGTAGAAGTTTAGCTGTGAATGTGAACACAACACATGCGGGGAGAGCTGTGATCGTTGTTGCCCTGGTTACCACCAGCAGCCCTGGATGGCAGGAACCTTCCTCACTCGACACGTCTGCGAGAGTAAGAAAAACACAATGACACTTAAATTACACACAGCTACCCACAATTCCTGCTTACCCAGAAACCAGCAATCACTTCTGAAAACTTTCACTACTTGGAAAATGTCCTTTCAGAGATCTTATGGAACTTTAGGTACCCACTGCACATTTATTTTAATGCAGCATATGCACCCACTCACCACATGTCTGTAATATTACTACAGCACACCTACAGTTTATATGAACACATATAGCATTGAACTGTGGAGGAGCTCAAGGAAATTAATATTTTTGCTGGCCAGTCCAGACCAATCTTTGATATAAGACTGTATAAAGCCATCAAAAGTCACCTTTGCATCCATTAACCTTCATCATCTATGTAGCAGCAGAGCGATGAGGTGAGGGCTCCCACCTGTCATCATAAAACTAGGGTTACAACATGTAATCTTCATTTTATTTCACACAGACTACGCCTTCTAACAGGCTCTTTGATCACTGCTTCTTCTACCTTGACACTGACACAAAAAGACTTAGGTGACAAGACGTTACAGGTCCTGACTGGCGCAATAGTAAAGACAGATTCAGCCCATTCAGCCCCACAGGGTCTCAGCACTGAACAACCTGTGCTTGCAGCAGCATTATGCAGCCTGGCTCAGAATGGTTGTAAAACGTAATCTAATGCAAGGGATGGACCACTTGGGGAACCTCTTGGGGGAACCATAGAGTCCAAAAAGCAGCCTAATGCAGCACAGGAGGAAGCCCAGCAGCACCACACAGCTTTACAGGTCAGCAGTTCCAAGTCTGAGATCAGACCTGGAGACGGGGCCTGAAATGTTCTGGAGATAAAAGAGGCTTTTGCACAGATATCCACCACTGTTATTGCTCCACATAGCACCGTGAACACAGTCATCATACTATAACTTTCCAGGGAAGTAAAATCCTTTCTCATACTATCAAAAACCTTATAAAATGCTTTGTTTTGGCATTTTATAGGCCTTCACATTAAAGGTGCACAGTGTAAGATATGGCCAGAATTTGATAATGAACTAACACTCTGAACAGAATGTGAAGAGGTAACAGTTTGATGTTATGTCAAAGATGTGTGTGTTGTGTTGCAGATATACAGTATCCATTGAAATTAGCATGCTAACCAGCTAGCCCCAACCTGTCCTGTCTTTTAATACCAATTGTACCTCAATAGTGGGTTATTATTACCATGTAGCGCCCAGTCTATCCTCAATCAAACATTAGAGGACAAAGAAGTCAAGTCCAGTATTACTTTTTGTTATTTTGAAATTCCTGTGATAGCTCCTGAAATGTAGTTCAGCCATCTTTTTATGTCCTCAGTTTGGTTGTCCGTAATTGGAAAAGCATTCTTTGGTCCCCTCTTGCTTGCTCAGTACAAGGTGTACATGGCCAACCAAACAGTGTCTGCAAAGTACAAAGATTACAGTTGCTACCAAGGTAAACACAGCCGTCAGCTGGGGCAACCAAACCAAGCCAGTCAGGCCAATCTAGCCAGCAGGCTCACCGGCTACGTTTGGTCAAGGTCTGAGCTCATAAACCAGGTGCGACGAAGAATATGTCTCAGTTTAGTCAATCCCAGATCCGAAATCCACAATACTGGTGTATTTCTCCTGACATACACTTACCATCACTGGCAGGTGAAGTGAATAACATTGATCATCTAGTTACAATTCAGTGTTCTGCTGGAAAAACCTTGGGTCCTGGCATTCATGTGGAAACCACTTGGCATGCACCACCCACTCAAACACCGATGTGGACCAAATACACCCCCTCAAGACAACGGCATTCCCCAATGGCAGTGGCCCATCCAGCAGGACAATGTACCATGTCACACTGTAAAAACAATTCAGGATTGGCCAAAGGAACATGAAAAGGCATCGACCTCCCCTCCATATTCACCAGATCCCAAACTGATTGAGCATTCATGGGACGTGCTGGTACCCAAAAGTACCCCCGATCCATACTGGGGCCTCCTTGGATCAGACTCGGCTCTGACCTGGTGAGGCATGAACACAGTTCCTCTGGGGATGTCCTGCGGTGTCTAGCACCAGGGCGTTGGTGGTGGATTCTTTGAGTCCTATGGGTTGTAATGGAGTTTCAGCACGTCCCACAGATGCTTGATAAATTTAGGATGTGGGACATTTGGAAGCCAGGTTGGTGTCTTGAGCTCTTTAACACTTTCTTCAGGCCATCCCTTGGCAGTTTTTTCTGGTGTGGCATGGTGCATTGTCCTGCTGGGGAAGCCACTGACATGGGGGAGTGCCGTTACCATGAGTGGGTTATTTGGTCCACAAGGGTTTTTGGGTGGGTGGAACATGTCAGGTGGCACCCACATGAATGCCAGGATCCAAGAACATTGTCCTGTAATGAGACAATCAATTTTATTCATTTCACCTGTCAGTGGTTTTAATATTGTGGCTGATCGGTGTAAAGTTCAAAGATCTTGTTATGTCTTCCATAATTGACAGACAATCCAGGGGTAGAAATATACAAATCTGATGTGGCTAGGTCAGCGGCTGGCTAGCCGAGCCAGGATAGCCATGCTAAAGTAGATAGCCAGGCTAAGCTAGTTTACAGGCTTAACGTTTGTTGCTCGTTGAATTCTGTGATCTTAACTCATTGTCTCAAACATTTCCAGGGTCAGATAATGCAAGGTCCCAAACCCAAAATCTGTTGAGAAACGAAGAGACATGCCAAGCACAGAGAGTACAACTAATAAGAACACAGAAAACCTTCCAAATGGAGTCAATATAAAGTTTCGATGTGGCTCTTTTCTTGCTACTATGGTCTTGCTAAAACTGAGCATAGCAAGTAGTTTGGTTGAATTCTGCGTGCTTTTGCCCTGCTGTCGTGACTTGGAGTTAAATGCTGCCCCTGATTAGTTTGGAGCATGTGGCCAGGCATTACACATTGCACCTTGAATTGATCTTCTATTCAAACCGAGACATCCTGGATTAGATCCCTGTTCTGTAAAACCTTTTAAATAATATCCACAGTCACACTGCAGAACAACTCTTTGCTTTTTTTTCTGAATTTTAAATGTTAAGCACAGTCAGTAGGAAACAGGGCTAATGCTAGGCTCCCCTCTCACTACTACACTGTGGGAAATGGCAAATACAGGCTAAGACCCACTTTTTTCCTTTCTGGACCATGGAGATAACACACTGCTCATGGTCAGTGTGTGAACCTTAGGGTACTGTCTTCAAAACAAGGTTTGATGTTTCTCTAAACTCCTATGTAGCAGAAAGTAAATGGATTAAAAAGGCGATCGTCTTTGCTTCATGCTCAGTATCGTTGGAGAAGGTGGGGGCAGGACTCAACAATCCCATCAAACACAATGCAACAGCACCAAATTTTTGTGTGTTTGTGTTTTCAGAGTGTAATTGCCATGGTAAGGCAGAGGAGTGCTATTTTAATCAGACAGTAGCAGACCTGTCACTCAGCCTGAACATCCAAGGTCAAAACAGAGGGGGCGGAGTCTGCATTGGCTGCCGTGACAACACAGCTGGAATCAACTGTCAGTCATGCGTTGATGGATTCTACAGACCCACAGGGGTACGTCACATATGCACGCACCTGAGCCTCATTTGACATTCTTTATTATGATTAATTGAATGTGTGAAAGTGATTGTTTTCTTCACGATGCCAGGTGAGCGCGGAGGAGGAGAACCCCTGCGTCCCCTGCTCATGTGACTCACATGGGTCAATCAGCCAGTCATGTGTCGCAGATCCAAGCCAGGCTACGCCCAGTATGCAAATACACTCTTTAATCTTTCTGTCTGTCCTCATATGTATCACTCTTGCTCTCTCTGGATATCGTCCATGTTTGAAATGGTACACACACATAGAGAAGTTTTCAGTGAAAACAAACACGTTAGACATTTTAATCAATTTTTAAAGTGGTACTTCAATAACTCCAACATTTCATCGATTCAGTCCTGCTTGATTTCCTATGGGGTTGGGGTTAGACAAGTTCAGCTGCGTGCACAGAAGCCTCTGTTATTGAAAACTGTCTCTGACAGAACAGAACATCTATTTATATTAGAGATAATTTTACTCCTCTTTGTACTTCTACTGTTTTTATGTCTAGAAAGAGGAGCTATTTTAAGTGCAGCCACTTCAAAGAGATACCCATTCTGTTTCCCATGCGCTGTTTTTCCTTTAAAAAATGTGTGTCTGTGTGTGTGTGTGTTTGATTGACAGATCAGCCAGCGGGGTCGTGCCGGTGTAAGGAGGGTTTTGGGGGTCTCCGATGTGACAGGTGAGAGACACGCATACGTGTGCGTAAACACACATAGAAAAAGAGACAGACACATTGTGACAGGTGAGCAGAACCTTTCAGCTGTTGTCTGTTCCAATTAGTGCTCGGAAATGACCAGAAAGTTTCCATTAAGCTCTTTGATGGTATTTATCACACACACACTCAGTTACACGCTGTAAAGAAGTCAGTGAGTAAATGGACATTGTATAAATGCCAGACATACTGTTTCATTTGCTATTCTGATTTGTTTTTCTTGACTCCAACTTGAATTATTTCTTTAATAACATATTTCATACACTTTTATCTCTAATGGACGCTGAACGCAGCCTGATATCATCAAGTGGAGTCTTGTTTTTCCAAACTTGAGGTTAAATCACAACCAGGGAATCAAAAGATATACAAACAACAACAAGAAGAGCTTTCTGTCTCAACCTGTAAATCTGTCAACAAGGTGCTTGATCTTAAATTGTATTGTCATCATCTTTTATTGCTGTAATGGCTTGTTTGTATTATCTTTTCCCTCACTGCAACTTCCCTGTGGGTCTAATTCAGGTTTAATGTAATCTAATCTAATCTAATCTAATCTAAAAGCTGATACAACTTTTCCCCCAAACTTTTTTAATGACCTGCCCTCAGATTGGGCCAGCAGCATAGACATTGTCTTTTAAATCACTTCTTAAAATGACCTTTAATAGACTTTGCTTCAGCTCACTCTACCTCTTAAAGATGGGATAGGCAGCAATCTGGAAATGGGCAAAAAGCAAAACCAAATGGCAGACTTGGAAATTACACCCTCTTCATGCAGCTCTCCCCTCCCCTGTCCTGAGCCCTTCTCACCAGACTACCACGGGCATATGAGTGTGCTTCATACAATAACCCATTGTTTCCCATACATTGATTTATTATTTAATACTGTTTCATTGTACAGATGCACAGACCTCATTTGTTCACCCCTTTCTTGCCCTGCTTTCTCTCTGTTTTAAATGAGACCACAGATTAGACAAGAATTAGCTAGCTAATGACCTCACGGTCCCTCTACCTCGCTTCCCACCGCTGTGGATTGCTTACCTTGGAAAATAGCGGGCAGCAGCATGGGAGGCAGACCTTTGGCCGGTGGCTGTAGCAGCTCAAATTTGGCCGGCGCAAACCCCTCTAGCTCTGGGTGCCAGTGCCAGATCTAACCTGTGTGACATCAGCAACAGAAAGTTTGCAGATCCTGTGGGGGGTTGGGCTGTCTGTACCCCTGGCACCAGGGTTCGCACTGGTTGGATTCAGGTTGTGACTGCTGACTGGGGGTCTCTGTCTGAAACTGCTGTCACCTCTTGTCTTGGCAGGGTGGTCTGGAGCAGTGGGGAGATAGGGGGAGGGCTCGCTGTGATTCGAGGCTCTAGCTAACGTTAGCTTTGTAAATGTGAACTTGAGGCAGCAGTTGTCAGCCTTTATCTCAGCTGGATAACTTTTAGCAAAACTTTCTTTCCATCTTTGAAATACAGTACAGGCCAAAAGTTTGGACATACCTTCTCATTCAATGCGGTTTCTTTATTTTCATGACTATTTACATTGTAGATTCTCACTGAAGGCATCAAAACTATGAATGAACACCTGTGGAGTTATGTACTTAACAAAAAAAGGTGAAATAACTGAAAACATGTTTTATATTCTAGTTTCTTCAAAATAGCCACCCTTTGCTCTGATTACTGCTTTGCACACTCTTGGCATTCTCTCCATGAGCTTCAAGAGGTAGTCACCTGAAATGGTTTTCCAACAGTCTTGAAGGAGTTCCCAGAGGTGTTTAGCACTTGTTGGCCCCTTTGCCTTCACTCTGCGGTCCAGCTCACCCCAAACCATCTCGATTGGGTTCAGGTCCGGTGACTGTGGAGGCCAGGTCATCTGCCGCAGCACTCCATCACTCTCCTTCTTGGTCAAATAGCCCTTACACAGCCTGGAGGTGTGTTTGGGGTCATTGTCCTGTTGAAAAATAAATGATCGTCCAACTAAACGCAAACCGGATGGGATGGCATGTCGCTGCAGGATGCTGTGGTAGCCATGCTGGTTCAGTGTGCCTTCAATTTTGAATAAATCCCCAACAGTGTCACCAGCAAAACACCCCCACACCATCACACCTCCTCCTCCATGCTTCACAGTGGGAACCAGGCATGTGGAATCCATCCGTTCACCTTTTCTGCGTCTCACAAAGACACGGCGGTTGGAACCAAAGATCTCAAATTTGGACTCATCAGACCAAAGCACAGATTTCCACTGGTCTAATGTCCATTCCTTGTGTTTCTTGGCCCAAACAAATCTCTTCTGCTTGTTGCCTCTCCTTAGCAGTGGTTTCCTAGCAGCTATTTGACCATGAAGGCCTGATTGGCGCAGTCTCCTCTTAACAGTTGTTCTAGAGATGGGTCTGCTGCTAGAACTCTGTGTGGCATTCATCTGGTCTCTGATCTGAGCTGCTGTTAACTTGCGATTTCTGAGGCTGGTGACTCGGATGAACTTATCCTCAGAAGCAGAGGTGACTCTTGGTCTTCCTTTCCTGGGTCGGTCCTCATGTGTGCCAGTTTCGTTGTAGCGCTTGATGGTTTTTGCGACTCCACTTGGGGACACATTTAAAGTTTTTGCAATTTTCCGGACTGACTGACCTTCATTTCTTAAAGTAATGATGGCCACTCGTTTTTCTTTAGTTAGCTGATTGGTTCTTGCCATAATATGAATTTTAACAGTTGTCCAATAGGGCTGTCGGCTGTGTATTAACCTGACTTCTGCACAACACAACTGATGGTCCCAACCCCATTGATAAAGCAAGAAATTCCACTAATTAACCCTGATAAGGCACACCTGTGAAGTGGAAACCATTTCAGGTGACTACCTCTTGAAGCTCATGGAGAGAATGCCAAGAGTGTGCAAAGCAGTAATCAGAGCAAAGGGTGGCTATTTTGAAGAAACTAGAATATAAAACATGTTTTCAGTTATTTCACCTTTTTTTGTTAAGTACATAACTCCACATGTGTTCATTCATAGTTTTGATGCCTTCAGTGAGAATCTACAATGTAAATAGTCATGAAAATAAAGAAAACGCATTGAATGAGAAGGTGTGTCCAAACTTTTGGCCTGTACTGTACATCGCTGATAATGACATGTTTCTTGTTTATTATCAGACTCTCTTTTAGACTTTCTTTTTGATAAGTCCATCTTTCTTTTTTTTGGGGTTGCTTTGCAGTGTAAGCAGTAAGTTGCCAATGCTGTAATAGCAACTTTATCTGCAGGTTTCTTCGCCATTGAATCAGGCTTTCACCAAAGGGATGTGCATGCACTAAGGATAGACCGATACATCGGCCGGCTGATGTATCGGGCCGATATCTGAGTTTTTTACTTGTGTCGGCATCGGCCGATACACGCGTGGGTTCGCGGATTTATTTTTCCCTGGCAGTTTTTTTCATTTGAAAGTATGTGGTTAAGTTGAACAAAGCTGTTGAATCCTACTGTGTACAGTAGTTGTTGTTTTATTTATGCTTCAGCTTAAATATTTGTTTATTTTATAAAGACATTACTGGAAGATTTAAGAGCACTGAACTCTTTTTTTTATTTGAATGTATAATAATAATAATAATATTCTACCTGTTCTACCTCAACTTTCCATCTTGTTTTAGTATTTTTTACTGTTCAATAAATGTTTCTTATTTTAAACTTGAGACCTGTAATATTTGTTATCATTGTGTCATTTTTTTTTTATGTAAATTGAGGGAGCAAAAGCAGTATCGGACCCAAATATCGGCTCAAGAAAATCGGCAGTCCATAATCGGTCATTGGCTAAGGGTGATGGAAAAAAAACGGTATCGGCATCGGCCCTAAAAAATCCATATCGGTCTATCCCTAGCATGCACATCTGTATTTGTAAAACAGCCAGTAGGAATGCCCTCTCTCTGAAATGACCTGTGATTGGCTTAAGTCTCCTGTCAAGTGTTATGCGGGATTTATACTTCTGCGTCAAATCGCCGTACCTACAGCGTAGGCTCTGCGTTGACGTAGAGCCTACGCCGTAGCCTGACATGCACCTCCCCAGAAATGTAACTATACGTCACGGTGACGCAGACCTCCTGTCTATTTTTGTAAGCTGAAATCATTTCCCTCAGTGGAAACAAAGCTTTTATTTACTTTTATTTCACAGATTAAAAAAACCAAAACAATAAATTGTCAAGACAATAAAGCCTCCACAAAAATAGCATTTTAAGTCTTGTGTGTGATTTATCCTGGCTTCATATGAGTAGAGGAAATCTCAGCTCATCGCTAGGCTAATTTATACAATGTAAAATACCATAGGCTTGTGCTAATAATGTTAGCATGTTATATTTGTTTGGAAAATGTGTTTAGTATAAGACAGGTATTTTGTCAGTGAACCTTGGGAGTTGTAATGGAGCCAAATTTTGTAACGTTACCTTTGTTAAATGTTGCTGCTGTCCCTGGCTTCATATGAGTAGAGGAAAAAGTCTACTAGACACAAGGCTAATCTGTGCAATGTAAAATGCCATAGGCTTGTGCTGAAAACCTTAGTATGTTGTATTTGTGGGGAAAATGTGTTCAGCAAATGGCAAGAGCTTTGTCTGTGAATGCTGCGAGTTGTAATGAAGCCGATTTGTGTACTTGTGTTTGAAATTGTCTCTACTAAGCCATATTTAATGGGTGTTTTGAATCAACTAAACTTTACAGCACTTCACAGAAACCTCCGTAGCCGACCAGTGTTTTGGAGGTGTAACTGCAGAGTGACACAGACACACCACTGCACAAGTATAAATCCCCCCTTAGATTTTCTAAAGCCTGGAAGCAGAGCCAAGAGGAGGTGCAGAAGTCGAGTTTTCTGTCCGTCCTCTTGAATTACATTATGCTTAAAGTTTATTATGGGACTTTTGTCCAATAAGCTTTAATAAAGGAGTTTCTTTTACACTAATGTGTTTCCTAAGACTGCACATACATGCATGTCGCCTGAGGTGCGAGGTCAGCTGTTTGCTTCAAACTAAAGGATCAGTGTCTGGCTCAGAGACAGTATGACCGAGATGGACGAAGCGTTTGTTCAGAGAACTGAACCTTTGACCTTGTAGTGAAGGGAAGGCCTCTTTAACACTTGTCATCTTCGTCTTCATTATTGTTATTAAATTCATTTGTCTGCAGGTGTGCCGTTGGTTATATGGGCTACCCAACCTGCCAGCGCTGTAACTGCACTGTGGAAGGAAGCAGCAACGATGACCCGTGTATAACACCCTGTGTGTGCAAGGTACACTCACTCACACACTTTTAATGTGCACAAATAAGTACTCTGCGCTAACCTTTCTAGCCCCGTCATCATTATCTTCACCACATTAACACTGCAATAACATGCTTTGTGCTCATAACGTCAGCGTGAGGGCAGCCCATAAACTTTGCTGCGTCTTTGTTCTCTCTCTGTCTCTCCTTCTGTCTTTCTCTCCTGCAGGAAAATGTGGAGGGAGAAAACTGCGACCGCTGTAAGCTGGGATTCTTCAACCTCCAAAGAGAAAACCGACGCGGCTGCGAAAAGTGCTCCTGCATGGGCGTTTCCAGTCAGTGCTCAGCCTCCACATGGACCTATCAGAATGTAGGCACACACATGATTCTTCTCTGTCAGCCAATTGGGATGCCTCTTTATCTGGGTCTTACCATAGAATGTAACCCTAACCCAAACCCAAAGATTTTAAAAGACTTGGGAAAATAGAGAGATACAGAATGATATATAAACCTTAAAAAGTACAGGCACTGCTCTTTAAACAAATAATAATCCAGCCAGATCATCCAAACAAAATAGTAGTATTTCCTTTAATAGAATTAAAATGTCAGTGTTCTAAATGGATAAATGTATTGGTCTAAAGTTAGACAATCCACAGCAGAACATGACAGGTAGGACACTGTGTTTCATTTCTGCACAATTAGAGCAGCGTGTGCTGTTTGTAACACATACAAATTGTCGCTGGTGTAATAAAGCCACCTCAGCACTGAAAATCTTTTAGAAAAAGATTTTAAAAGTGTCACAATCTACCAGACGCACCAGTCGCCTTCCACAGCATGATACCTGTCATTTCTGTTTAAACAAGACAACCAGCTGGAGACTGTCAAAGGAAGGCAAACAGTATTAACTCCTGTAATTACTGTAAATGACTTTGGCCCATTCAAAATTGAAATCCTGGCGCCGTGCCTGCTTCAGTATATGTACATGACACATATTACAGTGCACACTTTATGTGATGTGCTTACCCTTACGGCCCTGAAAGCATTTTAAACCAACATCTCAGAGCAGAAACATTTATTTCAACAGAGTTGTTGCGGTTACTAGAGCCGCCTGCATCCGAGGGCGAAGTTAAGACTGTTTCAGTCTTTTGTGTGGAGTCCAGCGTTGGTGAACCTAGACACATGAATTTTGTAGATGGAATTGTAGATGTTCAGATTTCCACTTTATGACTTCTTACCCATGTTGGCTTAAATTTTGCGTTTAAAGTTTATACTGGTCCATGGAAACATAAGTTGACAAAGCAATCTCATCACAATATCCACCTCTTATGGCTCGATCTTCTAAAGTCAGTAAACTTTCTCTTTCTTAACTCACAATTTCCTTTAGTAGAGTATGTACCTACATTTCAGTGGTGGACAAAATTGAAATTGCGGCAAACTGAGTTAACCTAGCAGAATGCATTTAATTGCACTTAGTTTTTTATCTGCTTCTGTCATTTTCATGATTTTCTCCTGCATACATTTGCATAAAGGGAACAGAATCACCCCACTGATTACCCAAAAGAAATGTCTCAGATGACAGGAAAGCTGCTCTTCCACACTAATGCTCCAGTTTGATAAATACCCTTCAGGTGCTGAACACACATGACACAAGGTGAAAAAATAATAAACTAACCTGGCTCAGAGTTTTCTGAATAGCAAGAATGCATCTGGAATTTAATAAAAAAAGAGTCACTTGTTGCGTGTGAGTAGCAGCAGGGTATTCAATGACAAGTTTTTACCAAATGCGCATTTAAGAGAGTGGATGTGGATGGGGCAGAGTGGAGGTGAGTGAAAAGGAGAAGAGTGAAAATGAGGGGAGAGGAGAAGAAGAGAGGGCAAGACTGGAGAGACGAAGGGTGGAGACAAGACAAGAGGAGGGAGAAGGAGAGAGGTGAAAAGAGGAAAACAGTTTTTGACTGACAGGCGGGGTGGGAGAGGAGGGGAGAGGAGATGCTGACAGGATGACAGCTCTGATTTAGACACCGATAGTGTGTGTGTGTGTGTGTGTGTGTGTGTGTGTGTGTGTGTTCAAAAGGGGAAGCCAAGGTCAGGTTAATTGCAACGACAGATGTGTGTCTGGCTGTCTCTCTTTCTGTCTCTTACACACACACACACACACACACACACACACACACACACACATGCACACACAATCCTGCAGGAGTTGAGTTAAAAAAAAAACTCTTTTTAGGTGTCACTTGTTAGACTACCTGGCTGAAATGTGATATATGTGTAAAGAATCTTTAATCATGTCTCAGTCTCATTCCAGTTGACCCTTTGCTAAGTCCCACCCCCAGACGCAGACCGGCCAATCATAACGTCGCATTGGGCTGGCTCAGACCAGGGTCCGACAACAACACAGCTGTGCTCCAATGACTCTAATACAGTTGTTTCAGATTTCCTTCATTTTCAGGCAGGTTTTGTGGATTTGGAGCTAAATGTTGTGCCTGGGGCACATCGTATATTAATGATACTTGTTACCTGAAGAGGTTGGAAAAAGATATACATTTCTTCCCTGTTCCAAAACCAAAATCAAACCCTGAAAAGTGTAGGGTTAGCTAGCTAGCTACTGAAGATATAGCCTACTGAATGTAAGTGAAGGGAAGTAGGGAAACTTTGCTGATATTCAACCAGCAACTAAGACAACCAATCGGAGCCAAAGAGTCTCTAATGCAGCTGTCAATCCTGTCAGTCATTGCTTGTGAACTGTGGTCAAACTTGGAAAGTTTGGAAGTTGGTCCGCCCAGTGAGTGGTACTGAGGTTTGGCTCAAATGTTTTTAACATGGCGCATGGGTCACAAACTTTCTCAGTTTGATTGCAGTTCCCGAGCTTGACTGACAGGACTGACAGCTGCGTTAGAGACTCCCCGGCTCTGATTGGCTGTCCCTGTTCACGTGTGGTAATGCCATTAGAAACAATACAAGGAGGAAAGGAATTTGATCTTTTTCACAGATGATCTGTCTCATGTACTACTGTCAGGATATAGTGACAGTTTCAGCAAATGTAATGAAAGAGTTAGTTTTATAAAATTTAATTCTGAATTAACCATAAGAGTCGAAACCAGTTGGATTGAGAACTAATAGGGGAACAACGCCCATTGTCAAAATTTATATATGTTACTCCTATGGTTCTAGCTCCTGACTTTATACCCAATGACATCACAAGTAGAGAGTAGCACATGTTCACAAATATTTATTTAAATTTACTAGGCCATGTACATTATACTCTTGAAGTCTTAATTTATGTGGCGCCCCCCTTTAAATAAGTGTCGATTTGTTGTTCAGTTTATGGCTATATTATCTTAGATGACAGTTAAGGCCCAGATCACGCAGAAAGTGTTTTAGCATCTGGAGGCGGTTTTTGTAATTGTTTTTAATGAGAATGAAGCTTTTTGCTCATGGTTTTTGGCGTGACTGCGCTCTAGGCACTTGGCGTTTTTGCCAGAGTGCTCTGAACTCCTCGCCCCAAGTCATCTTTTTTTGTCATCTTTTTTTCCATTGTCCAATCAGATGACTTGAGAGGCGGGCCTTCACGACAACAAGATTACAGTTGGTAAACAATGGAGGAGAAACTGGTGGTAGCGGTTGCTGGATACCCAGAGCTATACGGCCAGACGATAGACAGCAGGGTGTCAAACTGCCCCTGAGTAATCCTAAAATATTATGCCTGGAAACAGCCATCATGGAGGAGAAGCTCCTGGACCAGCTGGTGGTACTCCCCATGATCCACCCTCTTTTTTAGGGTCTCATGTACCCACACAGATCTCTGTTTCCCTGTGCCCAACAAACTATTTACTGACAGTCTCTCACCCTCAACCAGAGCTACAGCAAGTACCCTCTGCCTCAGCATTCTAGGAGCTAGATACTGATTACTGTAGAAAACAAAACCACAAAAAAAATCAAAAAACGGTAGATCGATTACAGGGGAAGGTTAGTGATGAGGACACATCACATGAGGACGTGATGGGGTGATTGGCAACAATAAAAAGGTGCAGCAGGCTTTTTTTTGTAGTGGTGGCATTTAAAAAAAGCAGTGCAGTGCGCCTCTCTGCGCTATTAAGGCTTCAGGATGTTAAAGGATATTTCAGGGGTGTTTTTACCATCAGTGGACCATTGGTCTTAGGATTGACGCTGATATTGGGTTAGGACAGGGCAATATAGAGGAAATCAAATATCACAATATTCTTGTCCAAAGCCCTTGAAATCAAGACAGATTTTTGATGAATAATCATCAGTAATGTGGATATTCTGACTAATTACATCACTTTACTGTTCAGCATTTAAAATCAGGAAAAGACAACACTTATGATATTACAATATCCAAAATCTAAGATAAAATCTGGTCTCACATCATAATATCAGTATGTAGCCTGGACAGCAAAAGCTAAGAGATGTCCAGTTGGTCCATAGAACAGGAGGAACCTGGATAGTCGATGTACTGAAACAGCCAGACTGTAGTTATATAGCAGGCAGCACAAAGCATGACCACCAGCCGGGCATTATAAGTAAAGCTGGTCAGATGATTAAGGTGTTAACACTGAACATAACGGGTGACTGACTTTAATATGTTTGCTGTCGGATGTGACTGATCTGCTAACAGTGAGCACAACTTGAATCTTTATTTCAGTGTGAAGGTCAGTTCTGTTTGAAACTCTCTGAATATACTTCAAAAAATCATACTGGAATCCTTTCAAACATTCGTATGAATAGCTCTCTTGATCACTGTATTTGCAGTGAAAGTGAAGGGCACACTACTCTTTGCTGAAACGGGGAAAAGAGCCCAGTTTTGCCCAAACAGAATGACCAGAGCTGTAGGTAATTTTCCGATATTACACTCAAGTGTTTCTGGGTGTTCAATCTTAAACACCTGCACATATGATTTCTTTGTGTGCTTTGAAATGAGACAGTGAACTTCGGTCTAAGGCTGTTTTCATGTCAATAGAAGAACAAGAACTGTTGTTTTCTCAGTTAATGGAGCTGAAAGTTGCCTGAATCCTTAACTTTTTCCTCCCTCTTCTACCCGAACCTTGTTTTGCAGGAGACAACTCTGACAGGCTGGCACCTGCTCGGAGATACAGGTGGAGTGTGGTCCGTTCACAGGCAGACATCTCCATATCTCAGCGTCCGACACTCAGATGTTGTGAATGATCTTGGCTCTGCCTACTACTGGAACGCACCCGGACTATACTTGGGAAACAAGGTTAGATGCAGACACACACACACTCGTATATGTTTACGCCTTCTTTTCATATACTGTGCTGTCAAAATCAAATTGAAATGATCAATGATGTCAAACATACAGCCGACTGGCCAAAACCAGCCTGCCTGCTCAGAGGTGCCAGGTTTCAGGAGCAACAGTGAGGAGCCAAATTGATGTAAAATGCTGCCTCAGAGGCTTTTCCATCCTGACCAGATTACAGTTCTCTGAAAAAACAATGAATACTTATCGGGGTCAAGTTTAACTACATATTGAGCGTGGTACAAAATATTGTCAATCAGCAGCTTCAGCACAAAAGAGTCTGTCTCAGACCTCTATTTTAAAACAGTATAGGTGAAATCCTATTGCCAAGGCACTGCCTAAACTCAAGATTTGTAAATGGTTTGTAAGGCAGGGGATAGCTCAACCTGCCTCCTCAACAACCTCTACTTTAGTTTGGTGTGGCATAGGGCTGGGCGGTATGACCTAAAATTTATATCACGGTATAAATCGAATCCCTTCAAGGTAACGGTATATATCGCGGTATAAATTTAAGTGTAAAAGTTATAATAGAAGTGTTTCTGAATGGGTTTTGTAGTCCCTTAGCAAAGCTAAATTGATAAAAAAAAACAGCAACAAAAGCAAAGATATAATGTATTTTTTAGAGCATTTATTGTGCAGAATGCAGATCTCAAAACTCAAAATTAAAACCCAGTACTCTATGGTGCAAAATGTCCCCTGGGATCTATATCAAAAGGTAATTTCCTTCTTTTAGCAAAATCCGAAATGACTGAGTTGTGTTTTTTCCACCTGGACCTTTATGCTCTGCCATTTCTCCTCTAATCATCACGCTGTAACCTGTGACAGGCTGTTATGATACCACAGCTATCACACATTCACATATGGAGTTTTTTGTGGAGCCCCTAGTGTCACATAGGTTTACATTACCAAAGGTTTATGACAAACTCTCTTGCCGAAAACCAACTCCCTTGTGCGCACGCCGAGAGAGGAGAGGGAGAGACGCTATGCTGCTGCCAGAGGAGACACTGAATGAGTTCCCTCTGAGCGGTAAGTTGCTAAAACAGTCTGTTCATAAGACATTAACTCACTCACTCACAAGTTCTCCAGCAACACATGTTACACGTGCTACGCTAAATCACGGACGTGAACCAGCTCCTCTTGCTCCGCTGTCTCTGTGCTCGCAGCCATTTTCACACTGAGGCAGGTGCGATGACGTCATCGACAATAGGACGGTAGAGCGCAAATCTCTACCGTGGGCCAAATTTATATCATTTCTACCTTCTACCGCATATACCGTGCAGCCCTAGTGCGGCGCTACCTACGCAGGAGTATGGAAAAATACACATGTAAAGACAGTGAGCAGTAGACTGACTGAATGTGGAAAAACTCAGACATATGAGTGATGTGCGATTGCTGTGTTCACACCTACCCAAACGAACCGCACTTTGGGGGCACACAAACTTGAGTGCAACTGAACTGAACCAAACAGGGCAGGTGTTATTATGGCAATGGTTTAACTGGTCTGGCCCATGTAAGACCAAATTGGGTTGCATGTGGCCCATGTACTAAAATGAGTTTAATGGCCTTGGTTGAACATTTACTTAGCGACAATAACGCTTTCCCATTTACTGAATCTTTTAGCTCTGAGCAAGCCGTCTGTCTGTCTCCACTTCACTTTCAGTGCTTAAAAGTACTGTACCGCACTTGAGAGCCCCCATGTATTACTGTTACTGATTGTATGAGTTCAAGGCTCAGTAATCAAGGATGGATTTTATTTTTACAGGTCTAATTTTACTTTGACAGTTTTTTTCATGTGTAGATTTTTCTGCACTGTTGAGACCCACGCTGACAACTGGGGAATATGAGGAGACACTGCAAATTATATTTAACTCTCAATTAATTACACCTATAATTATGTCTGTACTGGGTGAAGTAATGACAAGGGTATTTTACAGTTTTATTTCTTTTTAGTACAAAGGAATACTTCGCACATCTATTTCCAAACAGGTGCATGGAGAGGGACGAGCAGAGCACAACTAATAGAAAAACTACTGCAACTTGCAAAAATAGTGATTTTCGATAACTAGACCTTCATAGGGCAAACAGTTTTGTAACAAAGAGAAGCCATCTTAAGCAGGAGTGGCTGTGAGTTTGCAGTTAGTCACATTACGCATGTGCACCACACATCAATTTGTGTGACAATCTACAGTATTATACATAAAGATAGAGCAGAGCCCTGGACTAAGAGGCATCTGGTATTTAAAGTGTATAGCGGAATGAACAACCAGTTAAATGAATATGAATATAAATAGAAGTATAACATCGGAACACTGGCAACTAATGGATAATAATAAAAATAAAAAGGTGCTAACATGTCAATAAATATTGCATCCCAGTGAACATTATACACAGTATAAATAAGTGGTTCTGATTGCCAGACTCAGTGCAGAGTAGTCATGGAATGGAATGCCTTATTAGCTGTACTGTATTGTCTAACTTTGCATTAGAGGGACGGAGGTGACAATGTCCGATATGAAGTGTAGCAGTGCAGGGTTTTTGTAGAGTGGGAAGGGGGGATGGGGGGTTCAGGAGTCAAACAGCTTGAGGAAAGAAACTATTGCAGAACCTTGCAAACTTCATCTGGATGCTGCAAAACCTTCCACCTGATGGCAGGGGGGCAACCAGACTGTAGGAGGGGTGTCATGGTCACCACTTCTAGGTGGTAGGGTGACCTCTTCAGTAGCACAGAAGCGTAATGAGATGTCATAGTGAGCATCATTGTAATGCGCTGCTATGGGACATTCTATCATTTCTGCATACAATGCTTTTGTGCTCACTGATCTTAATTCTTAGATAATTACAGCTGTGATTATGTCTGTGCTTGGTGAAGTGATAACAAGGGTATTTTACAGTATTCCTTCTCAGTTAAAAAAAACACATGCATGGAATTCAGTTTAAGTTTGAGTGGCTGTCAGTGCACTGGATAAAAAAACATCCTTTGAATGTAGGATGAACAAAATAACATAATAAGTAATATGACACAGTGCCTAACAGTACACAAAACGCTGCCTCAGAGATAACCATAGAGTTGAGTGAGACCTCTCTAACACAGTCTCAACAACAATAATCTTTTCAAATGTAAAATGTTTTCAGAGGCTTTGCACTGGATTTTATTAGATGGGTCAGATGTTTCTGTTGTTGCTGTTCCCTATAGATAGACATCACTGTCATCCTATAGCGAGCTTTTGAATTGATTTGAATATACAGCACCTAGTATGAAAAAATACATATTTATAAGGTACCACTCCAAGAAAAGTCCTTACTCCCCAATAGTTTACTCTATGATACAATTTCAGACATCAAATTTCGACTGAATAAAGCAATACTATTTTTCAGCGCTGCCTCTATTTTTTTGTAGCTTTCTGTTTTTTTGGCTTTATGGTCTGGCACCTGGTCACTACCTTTTTATTAAGTCCCAGCCTCACCTGCCTGCTGTGCCTAGGAGTGTTCACAACACAGCAAAAGAAGAGGAAAATAAGAAAATACAGGGCAGATTCTCTGCAGATAAATACACCACCATACAGCACAGTCTTTACATTGTGTTTTATTTTTATTTTTTAGGAAAATTAGCTCCTGGTGAAAACCTCCTGAATATATGAACCCCAAAGGAATTCTTACAAGGAGAAGTTTGTAATCAATCAATGCGCCCCAGATTTCCTTCAGATTTCCTTCATTTTCAGGCAGGTTTTGTGGATTTGGAGCTAAATGTTGTGTCTGGGACACGTCTAATGATATTATGATGATGTATTAATGATACTCGTTACCTGGAGAGGTTGGAAAAAGATATACATTTCTTTCCTGTTCCAAAACCAAAATCAAACCCTGGAAAGTGTAGGGTTAGCTAGCTAGCTACTGAAGATATAGCCTACTGAATGTATACACATGCTGCTTTTCCTTTTTAATGATTATAACAGTGGAAAAAACCCGACCCTGCTGTACAGGAACCAGTGAAGGGAAGCAGGGAAACTTTGCTGATATTCAACCAGCTCTGTGTCATCACAGTGTGTGATGAATGGTGTTTAACTACCTGTGTAGATCCCTACTCATCTGGCGGAAGTTTTGAGTGTAATACCGTTCATCTGCACACACTGTGATGCCACACAGCTGGTTCAATATCAGCAAAGTTTCCCTTTATATTCATTGTCTTGTGTGGCGATCAGCAGTGATGTGGTGGTTCACTTTTACACTGTGATCTGTAGCCTATAGTTCGGCTTTAGCTTCTAACTATCTTTGTCTTTTTAACCTGTTGTTGCTGCTGAGTCAGTTTGACATCCTGGATATATCCTTCAAACACAGACTGTAGACCCCTCTGTCTGCTTCTCTCTGGAATCACTGTTTCATTTTTCCAAAAACATGATAATATTTCTTCAGGGAGTGCAGTCAGATATGGTGTGGACTCCATGCTTAGACAGCTTGACGGACCATCATAAAGGGGTGGGGCTTAGTGAAGGGTTATCTTCACACCTTCACATATCGCTGCAAATACTAGTCTAATGATGTGATGCAAATACTTTTTTCTTAATTTCTTTAAGTAGATCAAGCAGGATATTTTTTATCAGTGTTACTTCCAACCGACTGTTCCCATCACAACATTAAAAGTTTCCACCATTTCACAGCCTAATGACCGCGGTGACAGGCAAATATGAAGAAGCTGACATGAGGCTACATCATTAGGATGGGCTTGAATATATAAATAGATCCAGTTTGTGATCTAAAAGTATATTCCCTGGATGTAAATCTAGTGAGAAAGTACCCTGCTGGGATGTTCACCTCCCTCCCAGCCTCTGCTCCTCTGTATCTGCGCCTGCTAATGTCGACTGTTTGAATTTGCGCTGTGGGTTTCTGCGGTCGCGATTAGACTTTATCACTCCAGCTGGCAAATAGCTGCAGTCCATGTTTCTGAAGTCGAGTTGTTGCCCTAC